TGGTACTGAGGCTAAAACATTTTCCCACTGTCTGGGTGGTATTGAAAGTTCCAGTTCTTTATTCCAACCATTTCTTAAAGTCTGCATATGAAACTTACTTATTGATAATAAACATCTGTAGAAAGTGATCATGTCTTTTTAGTTTACAACAAATTATCCAAATGCTCCAATATCTCAGGTGTCTCAGAAGCTGAAAAAGCTGCTGTTCCAAACAAACTTGTGAGGAGATGTTGTGCCTGGAGATTCTGGGCCAGATCTGTTCTCTTAGAACAGCGAATGTATAAAACTAATCTTCCTCATCTATTGATTGGTCCAAAGTCAATACACCTGCTTCCATCCAATTTTTCCATGGTACCATCATTTCCCCAATTTTTAAAGTAGGATTTCCCTACAAAGTAACTTCGGCATGTGAGAATGGGACAAATTTGCTTTTATTAGACAAGATATTCCATATCCTTCTAACTCACTTGATTGTTTCAAGGGTCACAAGAAATTTCAGATACTTTGATCCTAATATTGTCCAACCAACTAAAGGAGATTAGATAGATAGATGATGATGATAGATGATAGATAGATAGATAGATAGATAGATAGATAGATAGATGATAGATAGATAGATAGATAGATAGATGATAGATAGATAGATGATAGATAGATAGATAGATGATAGATAGATAGATGATAGATAGATAGTAGATAGATAGATAGATAGATAGATGATAGATAGATAGATGATAGATAGATAGATGATAGATGATAGATGATAGATAGATAGATAGATAGATAGATAGATAGATAGATAGATGATAGATAGATAGATAGATAGATAGATGATAGATAGATGATAGATGATAGATAGATAGATAGATAGATAGATAGATGATAGATAGATAGATGATGATAGATAGATAGATAGATAGATAGATAGATAGATAGATAGATAGATAGATGATAGATAGATAGAGATGATAGATAGACTGACAGACAGATAGATGATAGAGATAGATATAGATATAGATATAGATGATATAGATATAGATAAAGATAGATAGATGATGGTGATGATAGATGATAGATAGATAGATAGATAGATAGATAGATAGATAGATGATGGTGATGATAGATGATAGATCGATAGATAGATAGATAGATGATGGTGATGATAGATGATAGATAGATAGATATAGATGATAGATTAGATAGATAGATGATAGATGATGATAGATAGATAGATAGATAGATAGATAGATAGATAGATAGATATAGATATTCTGAGGTTTCCCACAGTTAACACCAAGGGTGTGTTTCCAATTTTGAATGCTTGACAATATATATACCACAATGCCCCAAACCAGATGATAGTAAAACTTCACATTCATATTAAAAAAAGAAAAAGAAAACCCAAATGGTTCTTTCAAAGTCTGTCCCAGGAATGGAGATTGCAAGGTTCCAGAGGAGCAATTTCCCCTACATTATGGCAGACCTCTTCTGCCTCCCCAAACCCTTCAGCGGGGTTAACAATTATTCCTTCACAGTGAATGTTTCAGCACAGGAAAGTGACAAGGGGGAAGAAAAAACACAGGATGGGGAAAAAGAGCTGAAAGGGAATCTGATGGATGGAATGGGGGATGAGGAGAGGGGCTCATTCATGGTGCCTGAGGGAAGGAACGGGGGCTGTGAGCCAAGGACCTTCCAAAAGAAATACGGGGGGAGGGATTCTACCAATGGAAACACAGATCATGGAGCTTCAAAAGCAAGATTCTGGAGGCTGGAGGGTCAACCTGTTCTGGCCCTTCATGAGTACAAGAACTCTCCAACTTTGGCATTTGAGGCAGCCAAGGTGGGTGGCAACAGGGCTCCGCTTCTCCAAGACTCCTGACCACCTTCACAGGGGAATGGCACACATTTCATAAAAATGTGGAATGGTGGCAAAGCCAACCAGCATGGGAGAGATGTTGATCTTTTCAGGAGGGACGGGAGATTTTAAGTGGAAGTTCTGCAGGATGCTGGTGAAGAAGAGGAAAAGCTCCATCCGGCCCAGATTCTCCCCCAAGCAATAGCGCTTCCCTAGGAAAGAGGAAGAAGGAAAAGACATCTTCTGAGGGTGCCATTAGAGATGGTTTAGGAGTGCCTGGAAAAGGAAGGCGACTGACTCACCAACAGAAAAAGGCATAAAAGCCTCATTCTTCTTGAACTGCCCATTCTCATCCAGGAAATGTTGGGGGTCAAAAACATCTGGTCTTGCAAAGTGTTGGGCGTCTCTCAGCACAGACCCGAGCATGGGAAACACTTCAGTTCCTTCAGTCCCCCCAGAAAGGAAGAGAAATGAGAAGATACAGGAGAAATGGGAGATTTCAACACCAGGCCAATTGGTGCAGTGGTCAGTTCTGAAGCACAGGAGCTTATCATAGCCATGCCAACCCCCAGAAAGTCCACAAATACAAGCAAGTGTGGCAATCCATCACTTTAGATAAAAGGTAAAGGGACCCCTGACCATTAGGTCCAGTCGTGACCGACTCTGGGGTTGCAGCGCTCATCTCGCTTTATTGGCCGAGGGAGCCGGTGTACAGCTTCCAGGTCATGTGGCCAGCATGACTAAGCCGCTTCTGGCGAACCAGAGCAGCACACAGAAACGCCGTTTACCTTCCCGCCAGAGCGGTACCTATTTATCTACTTGCACTTTGACGTGCTTCCGAACTGCTAGGTTGGCAGGAGCAGGGACCGAGCAACGGGAGCTCACCCCGTCATGGGGATTCGAACCGCCGACCTTCTGATCGGCAAGTCCTAGGCTCTGTGGTTTAGCCCACAGTGCCACCCATGTCCCTATCACTTTAGATAAACATACCCTGATCCCAGAAAGAGCAGCAATGTCGCATAGTGTAAGACGCCATTTATGAGCGTTAGCACAACTCTGGTCCTCTGCCTTGCAAGCAGCCAATGGGGCTGGCAGAGGCATTGCGACTGGTGCCACGTGGGGGGGACGGTGGGTGGGGTGAGTCAGCAGGGAGGTTGGTGCTCTGTGGAAACACCAGAGCAGCCTATGTGGTCCTTCTGCTGGCGTATCTGCACAGCGCTGACCTCGCAGCTGCCTCGCCCCTCCTGCTAAGCCACAGCGATGCCAGGAGAACAAGGGAATATTGCCAGGCCACCCCAGCATCCATACCTGCTATACATAGTTTCTCCAAAGACTGCCATTGAACTCTGTGGTGCCTGCTTCTGACTGAAGAAATTGTCCATCTAGCACAGTTCTCAAAGTGGCCTACTGGGGGCTGTGACCCCTGGCAGGGTCTTTTCAATGACAGTTCCTCATTTCTGGGACACTACCCTTGATGTGGTGCCTCTGCTAAGCACCAATAATTCTCCCCTGCAGCTGGTGTCCCTATCAGGGCATGCAGTGGTCATTGTGACTGCATGAATATGTGAAAGACTGTCTCTTTGGCAGGATGGCTGAAGAGAGCAGAGATCTGTATTGTGAGGAGAATCAGAACTTAGAGTTAAACAGTTCTGTGTATTGTCCCTGCCTACTGGGGCGTGGTTTGTTCACATAGGGGAATCTTTCTTTGTGTGTGAGTTACTTTTCTCTTTCCGCTGAGGAACCGGGAGGATGTCTGCTCGATCTCCCGGCTTATTTATTTTGCTATGCTGTACGTAAATAAAGCCTCTTTAGATTAGAAAGAAGCGTGCGTACGGACTGTGATTTATTGCACCTAAACAAGGCACACACCGCTGCTGCGAAACTCTGCTTGGAGCCAGGAAGATGTCTGAAAGCTCAGAGGCACAGGGAAGTGTGCCGGACGCCACTCTAACTCAAGAAGTATATACAGTGGTACCTTGGGTTACATACACTTCAGGTTACATATGCTTCAGATTACAGACTCCGCTAACCCAGAAATAGTACCTTGGGTTAAGAACTTTGCTTCAGGATGAGAACAGAAATCGTGCTCCGGCAGCAGGAGGCCCCATTAGCTAAAGTGGTGCTTCAGGTTAAGAACAGTTTCAGGTTAAGAACAGACCTCTGGAACGAATTAAGTACTTAACCTGAGGTACCATTGTAGTTCTGTTTTTTATTTTTCATGTAGACCAGTAGTGTAATGCAACTTGCGAACGATAAATACATCAGGAGAATAACTGGATGACTGAGGTGTCTATTCCTGTAATGGGAATTGAACCGGAAAGGGCTGGACTCCTGATGTTGTGAAGACACAGGCAAATTTATGAGGAACTGTGCTGAGACAAAGAAAAGGATCCCCAAGAGTCGGTGCTGACACACTAACAAGACAGAGTGCTTGGGGAATTTCGCTGAGCCACAAAGTGTATCTGGAAATTGTACCAAAGGGTCTGAGCCACAGGAACTAATAGAACCATCGTACCTTGGGAAGGTTGTATCCCCGGAACTGGGTATCACGGGTCACACGTCTTGCTACTCCCAAGGGGAGCATGTCACCAAATCTCTGGATCTCGTGGATCACAGCATCCATGTAGGGCATCAGGGGACGGTCATCCATGTTGGGAGTGCGATTCGAGCCAATCACCCGTTCAATCTCTTCGTGGACTTTCTCTGTTGAGAAATCAGCAGGATGAGACCAAAAGTGCTATTTGCACTTTCCAGGGAGCTAAAGAAGGATCCCAGCTCATAGCTGGGAAAGCAAAGAGGGAGCTTTCCATAGAAAGGCAAGGACACATCTCTCCACCCTATTTTTCTCCCCCTTCCGCAGTCACCTTCAACCTCCGGGTATTTCAGCAGAAGCAGGAAGCCATAGCGCAAGGTGGTGCTGACCGTTTCTGTGCCAGCGAAGAAGATGTTGAGGGTTGTCATAACCAGATTCCTTGCAAAGAACTCTGTGTTTGGGTTTTTCTTATCCTAAGTCAGAAGGAAAATAGTAATGGGGGATGCTTCATAGATTATATGTGAGTAGAGGCTAAAATCTGGTCCTCATATGTCTTCATCAGTATGCAGATGATACCCAGCTCTACCTCTCTTTTAAATCAGAACCAGTGAAGGCGGTGAAGGTCCTGTGTGAGTGTCTGGAGGCGCTTGGAGGATGGATGGCGGCTAACAGATTGAGGTTGAATCCTGACAAGACAGAAGTACTGTTTTTGGGGGACAGGAGGCGGGCAGGTGTGGAGGACTCCCTGGTCCTGAATGGGGTAACTGTGCCCCTGAACGACCAGGTGCGCAGCCTGGGAGTCATTTTGGACTCACAGCTGTCCATGGAGGCACAGGTCAATTCTGTGTCCAGGGCAGCCAGCTGTTTACCAGCTCCATCTGGTACATAGGCTGAGACCCTATCTGCCTGCGGACTGTCTCGCCAGAGTGGTGCATGCTCTGGTTATCTCCCGCTTGGACTACTGCAATGTGCTCTACATGGGGCTACCTTTGAAGGTGACCCGGAAACTACAACTAATTCAGAATGCGGCAGCTAGACTGGTGACTGGGGGCAGCCGCCTAGACCATATAACACCGGTCTTGAAAGAGCTACATTGGCTCCCAGTACGTTTCCGAGCACAATTCAAAGTATTGGTGCTGACCTTGAAAGCCCTAAACGGCCTCGGTCCAGTATACCTGAAAGAGTGTCTCCACCCCCATCGTTCAGCCCGGACACTGAGGTCCAGCGCCGAGGGCCTTCTGGCGGTTCCCTCATTGCAAGAAGCAAAGCTACAGGGAACCAGGCAGAGGGCCTTCTCGGTAGTGGCGCCCGCCCTGTGGAACGCCCTGCAGCAGATGTCAGCGATAGACAACTACTTGACAGGCAGACACCTGTTCAGGGAAGTTTTTAACGCATGATATTTTAGTGTATTTTTGGTTTCTATGGAAGCCGCCCAAAGTGGCTGGGGAGGCCCAGCCAGATGGGCGGGGTATAAATAATAAATTATTATTATTATTATTCAAAGCTTGTTCTTTCCTGCTGATTGGTTAAGCTGCAGTGATGTCACGATTAAACAATTGAGGATGAAGGGACAGTTGAGTAGTGTTGAAAAGGTGGCTTCGTTCCAGGGATCCTAATTTCCTTTCAGACAAATACTTTGATCACAATACTTAGAATGAAATCATCATACCTGCTGCATTTTCACCAGGAAGCAGTCAATGAAATCCCGAGGGGCATTTGGGTCCAGGGTCTCCTCGTGGTCTTTTACCTTCTCCATGATGAACTTCTCCAACCCTAAGAGCTGCTTGAAGGCTTTAGGTTGTGGGCCAGGCAGGTACTGCATGACGCCCGAGAACATGTCATAGAGCTGTTTGTGTTGGTTTCAGAGGGTGAGGGGAGAGAAAACAGATATTGCACAAAGTGAAGCTGAGGTGAAGGTCTGTGGAAGTTGGAAACATATCATGGAAGTTTGGAAGGGACTAGAAAAAAGACAGACTCAGAAAGTCTCTCTCTAAGAAGAACAGAACAGGCAGCTGGAATTCCTGACTCCAGATAGAACTTGGCATCAACTGCTGACTAAGCTATCAGCTGTAACAGACATGACGTCTCCTCTTTTGGGGATAAGGATGGAGACTTGGAGGAGGACTCAGAGGGTGAGAAGGAATTTCTTACAGTGCTAGCAGCCTCAACAGCTCAATCTGGGATCATGTGAGGCCGAAGCAACATTCTAAACTTTTTTTTTTTTAATGATATTTATTACTTTTTCAACATTTTCAACACAACACTACAAACAAAAAAGAAAAGAGAAAAAACAATACAAATACAATACAAAAACGCTACATGGACTAACAAAACAAAGCAAAAACAAACAAAAACAAAGAGAGGTTTCAGAAGGAGACAGGATTAACATTGCTCAAGAAAGTGAAATATCTAGGGGTTCACATGACTGCTAAAAATGTGAATTTATTTAAAGATAATTATGAAAAATGTTGGATAGAAGTAAAGAAGGATTTGGAAATATGGTCAAAATTGAAGTTATCATTGTTGGGCCGAATTGCTGCGATAAAGATGAATGTATTGCCTAGGATGTTGTTTTTGTTTCAAACATTGCAGATTTTGGACAAGATGGACTGTTTCAAGAAATGGCAGAGAGATATTTCGAGATTTGTCTGGCAGGGCAAGAAGCCAAGAATAAAATTTAAGATTTTAACTGATGCTAAAGAAAGAGGTGGATTTGCCCTGCCAGACCTTAAACTTTATTATGAATCAGCCGCATTTTGCTGGCTGAAAGATTGGCTGCTTCTTGAAAACACGGACATTTTGGACTTAGAAGGTTTTGACAATGTCTTTGGATGGCATGCATATTTATGGTATGACAAGGTTAAAGCACACAAGGCCTTTAAGAACCATATTGTCAGGAAAGCATTGTTTAATGTCTGGGTGAGATATAAGGATTTGTTGGAAAGTAAAACACCAAGGTGGCTGTCACCAATGGAGGCTAAGGCTCTGAAAAAAACTAATATGGAGACAAATTGGCCAAAATATTGTGAAATTTTAGAACAAGATGGAGATAAACTAAAGCTGCAGAGTTTTGACAAATTAAAAACTAAAGTCCGAGACTGGCTTCATTATTATCAAATAAGGGAGGCTTATAATTTAGATAAAAAGATTGGTTTCCAGGAGGAAAAATCAAAATTGGAAACAGAATTGTTAGACCCTAAAACTAAGAATTTATCAAGAATGTATAACTTGCTGTTGAAATGGAATACACAGGATGAAACGGTTAAATCTGTTATGATTAAATGGGCACAAGATTTTGGACATAATATTATGTTTGCTGACTGGGAACAGTTATGGACCACAGGTATGAAATTTACGGCTTGTAATGCCTTAAGAGAAAATATAATGAAAATGATTTACAGGTGGTACTTAACCCCAGTCAAGCTAGCAAAAATCTATCATTTGCCAGATAGTAAATGTTGGAAATGTAAAGAGACGGAGGGTACATTTTTTCACCTTTGGTGGACATGCCCAAGGATTAAGGCTTTCTGGGAAATGATATATAATGAACTGAAAAGGTATTTAAGTATACCTTTCTGAAGAAACCAGAGGCCTTTCTTCTGGGCATGGTCGGCCAATTGGTGCGAAGGGAGGATAGAACTTTCTTTATGTATGCTACAACAGCAGCAAGAATACTCATCGGGAAGTACTGGAAGACACAAGAATTGCCCACCCGAGAAGAATGGCAGATGAAAGTGATGGACTATATGGAACTGGCTGAGATGACCGGCAGAATTCGAGACCAGGGAGAAGGGTCGATGGAAGAAGATTGGAAAAAATTCAAAATATATCTTCAAAAGTATTGCAATATAAAAGAATGTTAGAAGGAGGTTGGAAAAAGAATATTAGGTCGTTCTGGTAGATATGATATAATGGACTAAGCAAAAATGAGTTGATGAATTTGATGAAATAGAGGAGGTTTAATTATATTACTTCAATCTTAAAATACGTAAATGAAAATAAGATTAGAGGGATTTGCTGGAAATACGATTTGAACAAGAATACAAAATTGGGAGGTGAGAGGAGGTCAATGGAAATAAGTAAAGGGAAAAGGATATGTAAAGGTTTAACCTGTTTTTGTTTTATTTTTAACTTAATACATTTTTATATTTTTTGTTAAGTTTTCTTTTTCATTCTATCTCATTGTTCTTTTTACTTGTTTATTTTTTGCTTTGTTATGGTCAAAGTTTTCTTTGTACTCTGTATGGTTTTTCTTTTTTTCTGTGATTTTAAATTTGGAATAAATATTATATCAAACAAAAACAATTTAAAAACACCTCAAACATTTTCAATATCTTATATTTCATTCACTTATTTCCAGCGACCTCCTCACACCTCCCTTTTTGTGTTCCACTTCTATTAATTGTTTCAGCAATTCCTTTTCATCTTACTCTGTTTTCTATCCTATAATTATCTTAACACATTCTTGCCTTATTTTTCCTTTAATTTTCTATTAATCTATTTATACTTAATTCCTTATGACATTTCTACTAAAGCCATATAACTTCATTCCATCGTTTTTCTAACGTTCCTTAATTTTACAATATTTCTATAAATAGTCTTTAAACTTTTTCCAATCTTCTTCCACGGACTCTTCTCCCTGGTCTCGGATCTTGCCAGTCATTTCCGCCAAGTTGATGGACTATATGGAATTGGCGGCAACATTCTAAACTTGCTCCAGTCAGACCTGGCCAAGCAGCAAGGCAGATCAGGAGTTGCAGCACCACGGAGAGCTCCAAGTGAGCAACGTGCCTCAACAATGGTCAATAGCTTTTTCTCAGCTACTCCCAAGCACTGTTGCTTGTGGAGATCTTAGATTCTTTCAGGACCAGGGGAAAGGGGCAACTCTCCTTGTTTCCATGGCCTCATCCCATGTGCTCTCCCTCTCCCCTCCCCTCCAATTTACCTGTCCCCAAGAGGTGGCAGTGAACTGGAAGCTACCCAGCATCATGCTGAGCAGGGAGACGAACTCCTTATCTTCGTATTCAAAGCAATCGCCAAAGGCGATGGAGCTGATGACGTTGGACACCGTGCGGCTCAGCATGTAGGTGGGGTCAAAGGGTGCGCCTGGAAAGAAAGACACACAAAGGGAGCACCTAGAAAGCAAGTCACTCAACCCAGGAACAAATCAAGAGTACACTTTGCACGGGACAAGGATAACTGTGACTTTAAAGATGAATGGCAACCTTTTACAAAGTATTTAAAGAAGCAACAAAGTGAACTGGACTCCTTGGCGGGCTCTGAATAAACACTCACAAACTTTTTATTGATAATAACCAGTCAGATAAATTAAGGATTTATACAATTTTGTAACATGCAGAGAATAGCATTTATAGAGAAAGCAGAGACTGGAACTGAGGGAAGTCGGGGGGAGGGGGGTTGTTTTATGGGGGGAGGGGAAAACTGGGGGGGAATTAAGGATGATATGTTTTAAGATAATATGTTTTGTTTAAATGCCTAATAAAAAATATTTTAAAAAAGAGTACACTTTGCAAAACAGTACAGTCTTACCTCATTATTCCTTTGAGAAACATTACTTTGATAGGATGTAGAGTGTTAGTGATGTATTTAGCTCCGGCTAAGTTACGTCTGTTTCCACCCATTACCAAAAGTAAATATAATATTCAGTATAAAGCCTTCAATTGCCCACTTAAATGCCCACTGTTTCTAACTATCACCTGTAACTCATTAAGCAGCATTTCTTGAAGATATCAAAACTGAGCTCACTGATTGATTGATTGATTGATTGATTGATTGATTGATTATTTTGGGGTGAACCTGGCATCTGCAACTCTGGCTAGGAAATGGAAATATGGCATTGCACAGCGTCCAAGACACCCTGGATGATAGAAAAATTCTTAAAGGGGGCTGAGGACGTGGCAGAGGCCACACATTGCAAAGCCATCTAAGAATGATTTCATCCTACTCTCTTAAACCCATGAGAGGATTTTGATCCCAAGTTGTATAATACAGAGATAGGCCAAGTAGACCCTCCCCTGGACTTCCATCGTCCACATGAAGGCTAGGGAGTAGGGTTGTTTGAACCTGTTTCCACTTCCTATACTCCCAAAGTTAAGTGTGTCTTGCCCTGGTTTGGACCACTAGCATAACATGAGTCCATTTCTTAAAGATACCAAAACTGAGCTCACTTTTTGTTGCCCTCAGGGATTCCAGCAGGAAGTGGATCCATGATCCGATCTTCAATGGATCTCCTTCCCATCCCAAAATTCCTCAGTGTTGTGATGGAGAATCGGCGTAGCTGTTTGGCCCGTTCCCCGTTACTGAAGACAACCCCTGAGAAGCAAAGGAGGAGGAGGAGGAAGGCATGTGCTCTGAATGAGAACGTGGTTGAAACTGCACAACAATGAAGAATGCCCCCCTTAAAAATTCACATTTTGAATTTTTTGCCTGGTCTCTAAAATTGTAATTTCAGCATTTGGAAGAACATTGTAAGCATCAGGGTTCCCTCTCATAGGGTGTGTTGTTGTGTGCAAAGAGAGTTGTGGTCTTTATAGGATCTGTTAGAATTCCTGCTCCGTGACTGCAGTCATGGGATTGTTGTCTATCACATGACGGTATATGTTTTGACTCCACAGAGTGGGAAGTGACGGAGACAGGATGTTTGTGTTACTGTGTTCCGTAAAGTGGGACTATTGTCCTTTGGGGTTTTTTCTCTTTGCTGTGTGATGGTAGAGAGAGAGGGAGCCATGTTGCAGTGCTCCATGTGTGTTTATATGTAAATAAAGTAGATTAGCCAAAATGCTGAGTTCTGAGGTCTATCACGCGCAAGTTGCACAAACTCTGCGGATCCCTAAGTGTGCCGGTGTCGTTTGGCATCGGTCGCTGTGATGTTCAGGCTGAAGAAAGCTTATGAATCTCCCGAACGATCGACCAGGAGGGAAAGAACATGCCAGTCGGGCTTGTGTCTCTGCCAGGGTCCTACTCGAGTGTAGGCTGATCTCCTGACAGGATCGTGGAATTGCGGTGGGGTGGGGGCTTGCAAACTCTCATCCAGCACCCTTCTTGATGGCTTGTCTCAATGGCATTGGAAGACATTCCCTCTGCCTCACTTCTTTCCACTGTAAAACATGTATTTTAAAAATGTACTACAGGCACATCCAACTCCCAAGAGACTGTGATCTACTCCCAGTATAAGAAAACTATCAGTGATCTACACATTGTCATTGGAGGAAGGAGGAGTGCCCCAAGTTGTTGAGCCTAAGGGGGAATGCCATAAATCGCTCACCAAACAATCTACTGCTGGCAAACAAAAGCAGCGCTAAAGCCAAGTATCGTATCCGCTATCATCAGCAGCAGATGCCAAACGACTGCCACTTTAAATAATCCCGCAATCGATCAGGAGCCCGCGATCGACCAGGATCATCCAGGGATCTATCTGTCAGTCGAGGTCGACCGGTTGAACATGTCTGATTTGCTTCATAGGACCAGGGGAGGTTCACTAGAAGTGCCCTATAGATGCCCATAATCATGCACTTTGGTCTGCATTAAAAATAATAACATTCATGCCTCTGGACTGCAAAAGCAGAGACTGACCGTAACCCCGGAAAAGCCAGTCAAACGTGGCTTGCTCTCCACGGCCACTGAACTCTTCAGCCTGATCCACCAGAGCCTCCTTCACGGCATCGTATCCACACAAGACCACAACACGGCGGGGCCCTAAGTGGATGGTGAAGACAGGACCATATTTCTCACGAATCTGTGAAAAGAGGGGGAGGGCATTGTGTGAGGTCATGGAACAGATGGAGAGATGGAGCAAATAGATTGGTTTTCAGGAAGACAAGGAATCGTAAAATAAATTTTATTTATACCCCGCCCTCCCCAGCCAAGACAGGGCTCAGGGTGGCTAACACCAGGTATAAAAACAATTGATTAAGATACAACTTAAAAACAAGATTAAAATACAACATTAAAGTGCAGCCTCATTTCAGTAGAAACTCAAATCAAAAACTTTTTGGAGATGAAAACGTCCAATCTTCACCGAGGCCAACTAACCAGACTGGTCCTACGTGGGCCAGAAAAAAGCTAGGGAAGTCCCCAAATAGGAGTTCCATCACAGAAGGAGAAAGGAAAAAGGAAAGAGGGGGAGGGGGAGGGGATCGAGTTGATTCCAAGCCAAAGGCCAGGCGGAACAACTTTGTATTACAGGAAGGACAGATCCTGAAGCTGAGGCTCCAATACTTTGGCCACCTCATGAGAAGAGAAGACTCCCTGGAAAAGAGACACATAGCTGCACAGGAAGAGAGAGACACATAGCTGCACAGGAAGATTAGCACAGACGTACAGCCGCCGTTCGGCCATTCGGTGTCCAGTCTCTTTGCCCACGGATCCCAGTTAGCTAAGAAAACGAGGTCTCCCTCCCATCCGCCAGGGCTCAAATGTCTTGCAAACGCCTCTCTGTGCCACTGTCCCTACCTTGTTGGCTACTCAGTCTGTCCTGCTCCCTTCTCAAACTCCTAGCTGCACACGGGTCCACAGAGTCTTACTGAGGCACCCAGAAGGGGAGGCAGCAGAGGAGGAGGAGGGAGCTGGGGCTTGGCCTTAAGCCACACTCACAGCTGCAGACATGAACTCAGTCGCCCTTTATTATTTCTATAGATTTGTTCTCCCTCCCCTCCACCCACCCCCACGCAAAAAAAGTACAGAAATAACAAAAAGGAGAGCGGGGGGACACACACCAGAAATCTAAACCATGGGTAGGCAAACTAAGGCCTGGGGGCCAGATCCGGCCCAATCGCCTTCTCAATCTGGCCCACGAACGGTCCAGGAATCAGCATGTTTTTACATGAGTAGAATGTGTGCTTTTATTTAAAATGCACCTCTGGGTTATTTGTGGGGCATAGGAATTTGTTCATTCCCCCCCCCCAAAAAAATATATAGTCCCCCCCAAGGTCTGAGGGACAGTGGACCGGCCCCCTGCTGAAAAAGTTTGCTGACCCCTAGTCTCTATCGTGGGTAGGCAAACTATGGCCTGGGGGCCGGATCCGGCCCAATCGCCTTCTAAATCTGGCCCAGGGACGGTCCGAGAATCAGTATGTTTTACATGACTAGAATGTGTGCTTTTATTTAAAATGCACCTCTGGGTTATTTGTGGGGCATAGGAATTTGTTCATTTCCCCCCAAAAAATATAGTCCGCCCCCCCCCCCCAGGTTTGAGGGACAGTGGACTGGCCCCCTGCTGAAAAAGTTCGCTGACCCCTGATCTAAACTATGAAAGCGTCACAACCTGGAAGGACAAAGAATGTAAAGATCCTGAACATTTCCAAAGGGAATTGGTTTAATTGTTAAATTAAAGCGACTTCCAGTTCTGTGGTGCACAAATCTAGCAAGTGGGGGAGACTCCACCCTCCTCAGATCACATCTGGCTTTCAAGGGGCGGTTAGGACTCAACTGCTTCCTACATTGGTTGTCCAGAAACTTCTTCTTTGAATGTAGGTTTCTGGCAGAATGAGTTTCTGGCGTTCTGTACCTTTACCAAGGCAACTGGTAGACTCCACCATATGATTCACTTTTGGGTGGGGGCTCCTGGTTGTGAATATTTTGGTGGATATTACGTCCTGGTGTTTTGGCTGATTGTGAAGTACTCAAATCTTGAAAACACAAGAAGTGGATAAAAGACCCTTTCTAAGTGGTAAGCTTGAAGGGACGCGGGTGGCACTGTGGGTTAAACCACAGAGCCTAGGACTTGCTGATCAGAAGGTCGGCGGTTTGAATCCCCGTGACGGGGTGAGCTCCCGTTGCTCGGTCCCTGCTCCTGCCAACCTAGCAGTTCAAAAGCACGTCAAGTGCAAGTAGATAAATAGGTACCGCTCCGGCGGGAAGGTAAACGGTGTTTCCGTGTGCTGCTCTGGTTCGCCAGAAGTGGCTTAGTCATGCTGGCCACATGACCCGGAAGCTGTACGCCGGCTCCCTCAGCCAGTAAAGCGAGATGAGCACCACAACCCTCAGAGTTGGCCACGACTGGACCTAACGGTCAGGGGTCCCTTTACCTTTACCTTTAAGGGGTAAGCTATAGTTTTCATTCTGGGATTGAGAGTTACATCTTTGTGTAACAAGGACTTTGAAGGAGATAAAAGCAAGCATCCAAATGAAGTTTCTTTCTAGTCATGTCGCTGCGAGTATAGAATGGAGAAATGAGAATCAAAAGTCTGGGAATGGGATATGGAGCTTAGATCCAAATTTTCTACTGCAAAGGGGAGTCAAAGGACAGATCTAAAGGAGCTTCTTTTTAAAAGGGGGAAGAGTGTGGCAAATGAATTTGTATCTTTCTCAGGAAATTGCAACAGCCCAGACTCTACTTTCCTCTGATTTTCTGACTCCTTCCCCTCCCCCACAGCACAAAGAGACATGTACCGTATTTTTCCGTGTATAAGACTAGGGTTTTCCCCCCCTAATAAATAATGTCAAAAATTAGGGGGCATCTTATATACAAATACATCTCTCCCCCCCCCATTTTCTTAAATCTGAGTCCCCAAAAATAGGGGGTGTCTTATACATGGGGGCGTCTTATAGACGGAAAAATACGGTAATTAAAAAGAGGCCCACTGGAATCTGTGTTTTTAAAACCTGTTTGTCAGGTGCAAAGCAACATTTAATGTCATGTGTTCTTTGGCTCTGGATCAGGTCCAGCATCCTAGTCGAGCATCCTGTTCTCTCAGTGGAAAACCAGATGCCCATTACAGGAAACCTGCAAGCGGAATCTCAGTGCAGCTGTAACTCTCCCCATTTGTGGTTTCCAGAAGCTGATATTCAGCAGGAGGCCGCCTCCCACCTCTGGTTGGCCATTGTGGGAACAGGTGGCTGGAAGAGGTTTGCCAAGCCTATTGTGGGTGACCAAGCCCAAAGCTCACCACAAGCTGAATAGCTCAGTCGGTTGAGCATGAGACTCATAATCTCAGGGTTGTGGGTTTGAGCCCTATGCTGGGCAAAGGATTCCTATATTTCAGGCGGTTGGACTAGATGATCCTTGTGGTCCATTTCAACTGTACAATTCTATGACTAGGTGGGCCTTTGGTCTGATCCAGCTGCAGGATTCTTCTTGTGCTCTTGGGAAAAGAGACCCTCAGAGCTTGATTTCTTACTGGCCGACTCCCTCCTGTTGGGTTCCCAGGTTTCCCCTACTTCACATGGGACAATAGGAGTTAGCAATCTCCCTTTATACGGGTCGGGTGATCGGTAATGTGATGCTAAGGGCAGCAGATGGAAAGAACAGATGAAGAGATACACCACAAAGACCAAAACCAGATGATGGTAAGCCTTCATATTCACATTTGAAAAAGAAAACTCCAACCATTCTTCCAAAGCCTATCCCAGGAAAGGAGCTAGACTGGTGACTGGGAGTGGCCACCGGGACCACAGAACACTGGTTCTGAGAGATCTGCATTGGCTCCCAGTACGTTTCTGAGCACAATTCAAAGTGTTGGTGCTGACCTTTAAAGCCCTAAACGGCCTCGGTCCTGTATACCTGAAGGAGCGTCTCCACCCCCATCGTTCTACCTGGACGCTGAGATCCAGCTCCGAGGGCCTTCTGGCGGTTCCCTCACTGCGAGAAGCAAAGCTACAGGGAACCAGGCAGAGGGCCTTCTCGGTAGTGGCGCCCGCCCTGTGGAACGCCCTCCCGTGGCTGGGGAAACTCAGCCAGATGGGTGGGGTATAAATAATAAATTATTATTATTATTATTATTATTATTATTATTGAGATTGCAAGATTCCAGAGAAGCTATTTTTCCTAGGTTACGGCCGACACCTTCTGCCCGGAAAACCCTTCAATGTGGACTGAGCAGCTGTCATTTCCTGCAGGGTTAAGAATTTTTCCTTAACTGTTCACAGTGAAAGTTTCAGCAGAGGAAACTGACAAGGAGAAGAGGGGGGGGGGACACCAGATAGATAAAGATATCCTCTTTGACTAACAGCAGGAAGGGAATCTGATGGCTGGGATTGTGGATGGGGAGAGGGGCTCATTCATGGTGTCTGAGAGAAGGGAAGGGGGCTGAGAGCCAGGGATCTGCTGTTTATTCCCATGGGCGTTCCATTCCAAAAGAAATGCAGAAGGGGAAAATTCTTCCAATGGAAACAAGAGAGCATGGAGCTTCAAAAGAAAGAATCTGGAGACGGGAGGTGTGACGTTAACATATGAGAGTGCTGGAGGTGAAATAGTTAAACAGGTTACCCAATCAGAACCCAGGGGGTGGAGTCAGAGGGACTATAAAACCAGCTCTGGGAGGGGTGAAGGGGGGCGTTCATTGGGAGTTGGGTGGTTGGTTGGAGTGGGAGTGAATTGGGATGGAGTCTGTGGGTAGGTTGAGTTAGTGTAGCTGTTAAGTTGTGGGTGAACATATCAGACGACACAGCGATTCTTCAAACAGCTCTTGTTTATTCAGAGGCCAGAACAGAACTGAGCTGAAGGGTTCAGTCAGCCTGCTTATATAGAGCTCCAGTACCGTGTAACTGTAACAATTTTCTAAAACTATCCAATCACTGAACGTCACTTTCGATCCCTTATTTGCATAACTATCTACAGTATCCCCCTGCTGGCCCAGGGTGAGAACTTCAATACATAACAGTAGCGAAATAAGCTGAGTCAGGAACAGTTAGGAGCTAGGAAGACAAGCCAACATCTGAGAGGTGGTTTAGTGAGTGAGAGCAGGTAGCGGAAGTTATAGGTCTGAATAGGCACCCCATGATTGTAATTGACCGATACCGTTTATGAAACCACACACTTGTTAAACTGCAATACATAAACAGAAGTTTAATTTCCAATTTAACCTGACTGGACTCAGTATTGTACCAGGTAGGGCCTGGGTGGCGGCAGCGAGAAATAAAGTGGTGGCACAGGGATCAATTGATGGTGAAACGTCCGGGGATCCTGTGTGATCGCCACAGGAGGTTGTTTGTTCAAGAACTCCGCAACTTGTTCCCTTCAGAGGGGAATGGCACACATGTCATAAAAACGTGGGATGGTGACAAAGCCAACCAGCATGGGAGAGATGTCAATCTGTTCAGAAGGGATGGGGGATTTGAAGCGGAAGTTCTGCAGGATGCTGGTGAAGATGAGGAAGAGCTCCTTCCGGGCTAGTTGTTCCCCTAAGCAATAGCGCTTCCCTAGAAAAGAGGAGGAAGGTGAATACAGGATTTCAGGGTGCTGTTATAGATGGTTTAGGAGGGCTTGGAAAAAGAAGGCGACTGACTCACCAGCAGAGAAAGGCATAAAAGCCTCATTCTTCTTGAACTGCCCTTTCTCATCCAGGAAATGTTGTGGGTCAAACACGTCTGGTCTTGCAAAGTGTTGGGCGTCTGTCAGCACAGACCCGAGCATGGGAAACACTTCAGTCCCCTGAGCAAGAAAGGGAGAGAAATGAGAAGATACAGGAGAAATGGGAGATTCTTCTGGGGGGCAAGAAATCATTCTGAGATTGGAGGCTGCATATTCCACTCTCCAACACCAGACTGTTAAAGTTTGTGGGTCGTAATACCTTTGACCCATGGAGTCTGCTGCAACGGCACTGCAATAAATCTGATTTATTGGCACTCCGACAAACTTCAGTGGTGCCCACACGCTTCCACTCATGCGCTGCCTCTCTTCTCAGTTGTCAGACAGTAGCAGAGTTCACACGCAGCGTAAAATGGCTTTGTCTGTGTCTGTGTGGTGTCTTCAATAACTCAGCTCAACACCAGTGCTTCTATTCTATCCCTCTATATTTAGAAGCATACAAAAAAAAAACAGAAAAGAAAAACCTACAGAATCTAGCTGCATGCTCACAGCTTTCTGTCTCTAACAAAAATGAAACTACCTTGCTCACATTCTCAGACAGACTGCTCTCTGCAGCCCCCAGAGAGCACAAAGGAAAATGCCCGGGTCATGTGGGCAGTGCACCCAGTTAATAAAAGCGCTTCCTGGAGTGTTAACGCTTAACCGTCCAGAACCACAACACCATTGGTGCTGTGGCTATGCCCACCCCAGAAAGTCCACAAATGCAAGCAACTGTAGCAATCCATCGCTTTGGATCAGGCACCTCCAACCTGCAGCCCTCCAGATGTTTTGGCCTACAACTCCCATGATCCCTAGCTAACAGGACCAGTGGTCAGGGATGATGGGAACTGTAGAGGAGCCCATGTGGTCCTTCTGCTGGCATATCTGCACAGGACTGTCCTTGCAGCTGCCTCGCTCCTCCTGCTAAGCCACAGCGATGCCAGGAAAACAAAGGAATACTGCCAGGCCTCCCCAGCATCCCCACCTCTGTTTCCCTGATTGTTATCATTCAGAGAGTAAGGACAGGTGGAACAGATGTGTTTGGGGAACGTCACTGAGCCACAAACTTTATCTGGAAGGGTGGAGTCTAAGTCTAAGGAATTAATAGAACCACAATACCTTGGGAATGGTGTATCCCCGGAACTGGGTATCACGGGTCACACATCTTGCTACTCCCGAGGGGAACATGTTAGTGAATCTCTGGATCTCGTGGATCACAGCATCCGTGTAGGGCATCAGGGGACGGTCATCCATGTTGGGAGTGCGATTCGAGCCAATCACCCGTTCAATCTCTTCGTGGACTTTCTCTGTTGAGAAATCAGCAGGATGAGACCAAAAGTGCTATTTGCAGCTTCCAGGGAGCTAAAGAAGGATCCCAGCTCATAGCTGGGAAAGCAAAGAGGGAGCTTCCCATAGAAAGGCATGGAGACATCTCTCCACCCTATTTTCCTCCCCCTTCCGCAGTCACCTTCAACCTCCGGGTATTTCAGCAGAAGCAGGAATCCATAGCGCAAGGTGGTGCTGATACTTTCTGTGCCAGCGAAGAAAATGGTGAGGGTCGTCATAACCAGATTCTTTAGGAAGAACTCTGTGTTTGTGTTTTCCTTCTCCTAGTCAGAAGGAAAATGGTAAAGGAGGTTAAAATCTGGTTTTCAGGTGTCTTCAAAGTTTGTTCTCTACTACTGATTGGCTGAGCGGCAGTGATGTCATGATTAAACCAATGAGAGTGAAGGGACAGTTGAGTAGTGTTGAAGAGGTGGCTTCGTTCCAGGGACTCTAGCTTCCTTCCAGAAAAAAATATAGTCATATTTTATAGAATAAAATCGCCATACCTGCTGCATTTTCACCAGGAAGCAGTCAATGAAATCCCGAGGGGAGTTGGGGTCCAGGGTCTCCTCTTGGGCTTTTGCCTTCTCCATGATGAACTTCTCCAACCCTAAGAGCTGCTTGAAGGCTTTATGTTGTGGGCCAGGCAGGTACTGCATGACGCCCGAGAACATGTCATAGAGCTGTTTGTGTTGGTTTCAGAGGGGAGAGAAAACAGATATTGCACAAAGTGAAGCTGAGATGAAGGAAGTCACTATGTTTTATCCAGAGCATGCTGATTTCTAATTCTTTTTACCTCTGGGTGAAATTTTGCCACTCAGGATTGTGAATGGGGTGTTTCTGGAGAACAGGAAGGGAGAATTTACCGTATTTTTTGCCCTATAAGACTCACTTCCCCCCCCCTAAAAAGAGCGTCCTACTCTCGTGTAGGACCCTGGTAGAGACACATGCCCGACTGGCATGTTCTCTCCCTCCTGGTCTATTGTTCGGGAGCTTTAAAAGCTTTTGTTAGCCCGAACATCACAGTGACTAATGCCAAAAGGCATTAGCACACTTTGGGATCAAACTTAGGGATCAAACTTAGCATTTGCAGTTTGCATAACAGAACTCAGTAGCTCAGCATTTTGGCTAATCTACGTTTGGACCCCTGACCATTAGGTCCAGTTGTGACCGACTCTGGGGTTGCGGCGCTCATCTCGCTTTATTGGCCGAGGGAGCCGGCATACAGCTTCCGGGTCATGTGGGCAGCATGACTAAGCCACTTCTGGCGAACCAGAGCAGCGCACGGAAACGCCGTTTACCTTCCCGCCGGAGCAGTACCTATTTATCTACTTGCATTTGACGTGCTTTCAAACTGCTAGGTTGGCAGGAGCAGGGACAGAGCAACGGGAGCTCACCCAGTCATGGGGATTCGAACCGCCGACCTTCTGATCAGCAAGTCCTAGGCTCTGTGGTTTAACCCACAGTGCCACCCTCATTTATTTACATATAATACACTCGGAGCATTCTGAGTTAGCTCCTACCTCTTTCTCATCAGACAGGAAAGAGAGAAAGGACAAAGGACAATAGTCCCACTTCACGGAACACAATAATACCAAAACATCCTGTATCCATCACTTCCCACACTGTGGAATGAAAACATACACTGTCATGTGATAGACAACAATCCCATGACTGCAGACACGGGGAATGAATCTCTAACACTCTTTTCCAGGGCCTCACCCCTGGTGCTCTCCCTGTGCTGCTAGACTGGTGAAGAAGAAGAAGAAGAAGAGTCTGGATTTGATATCCCGCTTTATCACTACCTGAAGGAGTCTCAAAGCAGCTAACATTCTCCTTTCCCTTCCTCCCCCACAACAAACACTCTGTGAGGTGAGTGGGGATGAGAGACTTCAAAGTGTGACTGGCCCAAGGTCACCCAGCAGCTGCATGTGGAGGAGCGGAGATGCGAACCCGGTTCACCAGATTATGAGACTACCGCTCTTAACCACCACACCACACTGGCTCTCACCACACTGGTGAGGTACTGTGGAAGGGATGTGCTTCCTCAGGCTCAAGAGAAGGCAGTTGATGCCAGCTCTACTTGCCCTGGTGCTATGGAAGGTTGTATTGGGCAGCTCCATTCAGCCTTGAACATGATCTGGCTCCTTAGTGGAGATAATGACTCCGATTTCTCCTGGACTGGTCCTGCATGCCATGCCTTGAGGAGATTCATTGAAAAGACATTATTCACACACTCACAAAGGAAGTCCTTCTCATCTCCTCCAATTTACCTGTCCCCAAGAGGTGCAAGTGAACTGTAAGCTACCCAGCATCATGCTCAGCAAGGAGTGGAACTCCTGATCTTCGTATTCAAAGCGGTCGCCAAAGGCGATGGAGCTGATGATGTTGCACACCGTGCGGCTCAGGGTGTAGGTGGGGTCAAAGGGTGCACCTAGAGAGAGAGACCCCCAAATCACTGAACCCTGGAACATGTCAAGAAGAGTTTGCAAACCAGTCCAGACTTGCCTCACATTATTCATTTGACCCACTGTTCCATTTTCTTCATAAGCCACAATTTCCTGGCCAAGTTCTCATATATATATATATATATATATAATTTTTATTGATTTTAACATATAAATTATAAAATGCACCACAAAACTTATACAATCTTTTTAGACTTCCATCAGCACCTCTGATGATCCACCGTTTTAACCACTTCTTATGCATTTCTTAACTTTATATTGCCTACATCTCTTAACAAATCATCCTTCCCCTTCTCCATTTTTGCAATACTTCTTGCAAACCTACAAACGTCGTCTGAGCTTCGCAAATACTTTTTAAATAGTCCGTAAATTTACTCCAGTCTTCCGTGAATTTCTGGTCCCGCCGGTTTCGAATCCTTCCTGTTGTTTATCTAGTCCATTAACTTCATCCTCCATTCTTCAATCGTCAGTAATTCTTCTTGCTTCCATTTTTGGGCCAATAAGAGCAAGTTCTCTTTTAGAGGACAAAGCTTATTGGTAATGTGTTTAGCTTAGGCAAAGTTTTCTTCGCACATAACCCAAAATAAATCGAAAACAGCAGTGAGAACATTCAGTATAAAGCCTTCAAATGCCCAGTTAACTTCCAACGGTTTCTAACCCATTAAGAAATATTTCTTGACCCATTAAGCATGAAGATGTCAAAACTGAGCTCACTTTTTGTTTCCCTCAGGGATTCCAGCAGGAAGTGGGTCTCCTCCAGGATCCGCTCTTCGACGGATCTCTTTCCCATCCCAAAATTCCTCAGCGTCGTGATCGAAAATAGTCGTAGCTGTTTGGCCCGTTCCCCATTGCTGAAGCCAAGCCCTGAGAAGCGGAGGAGGAGGAGGAAGGAGAAAAGTGGAAATCTGCCCAAAAACCTGCTCCGACCATAATGCTGTCAAGATGGAAATGAAACTAACACCAACTGGCTCCTTTAGATGGAGGATGAATGACACCTTATTTAGAGATGAAGAAGTGCTTAAGAAGGCCCAAAAAACCTTGAGAGACTATTTTGAGATAAATATGAGCACCAATGTGGAAAAAAGAGTAATCTGGGACACAAGCAAAGCGGTTATGAGAGGGTTCTTGATACAACAGAATGCATTAAAGAAGAGAATCCAAAATGAGAAGAAGGATAAAATTTTGGAGAAAATAAAGGAAAGTGAAAAAAGATTGAGAACAAAACCAAAGTCTCAAGAGATTTTGAGAGAAATAAAGTTATATCAAGTGCAATATATGAAAATGATGAATCAGGAGATAGAATGGAAAATTAAACAAATTAGACAAAAGACATTCGAGTCGGCTAATAAATGTGGGAAATTGTTGGCTTGGCAAATGAAAAAAGACAAACATTAAATACAGTTACAAATTTACAAGTGGAAGGAAGGAATATACAGAACCCAGCTGAGATTAGAAATTGTTTCCAGAGGTACTTTAAACAACTATATACACAAGGGCCACTGAAAGAAACTGATGTAGATCGATTTTTGAAAACAAATGGATTACAAACAATCTCTCAAGAAAATAAATTAATGTTGAACTATAAAATAACTGAACAGGAGATAGAAGGTGCCATTCAAAACATGCAATTGGGTAAATCTCCAGGACCGGATGGACTGACTTCTAGATATTACAGATCCTTGAAAGAATGGCTAGTACAACCTTTGAAAGAGGTCTGTAATGAAATAATGGAGGGGAAAAGGGCACCAGAGTCGTGGAAAGAAGCTTATATCACACTTGTACCGAAAACAGAGACTGAAAAGACGCAGCTTAAGAACTACCGCCCCATATCATTACTTAATGTGGATTACAAAATTTTTGCAGACATTTTGGCTAAGAGACTGAAAAGTGTTGATGGAAGAGATTCATAAAGACCAAGCGGGCTTTCTCCCGGGAAGACACTTGTCTGACAATTTGAGGAATATAATTGATATTTTGGAAAAACTAGAAGTGAACATAAATACTAAAGCAGTTTTGATATTTGTGGACGCGGAGAAAGCTTTTGACAACATTTCTTGGAGTTTTATGAAGAAGAACTTACAGGGTATGGGGGTAGGCCAAGGCTTTGAAAACGGTATAAGTGCAATTTATTCAGAACAAAAGGCTAAACTAATTGTAAATAATGTGGTGACGGAAGAATTTAAGATAGAAAAAGGGACACGACAAGGTTGCCCAATTTCCCCACTGCTTTTTATATCGGTCCTGGAGGTTTTGCTGAACATGATTAGAAGGGACCAGTTGGTTAAAGGTATACAGGTCGGAGCCAAACAGTACAAATTGAGAGCATTTGCAGATGACTTAGTACTGACGTTACAGGAGCCAGAATCTAGTACCAAAAGGGTTTTAGAACTGATTCAAGAATTTGGTCAAGTTGCAGGGTTTAAATTGAATAAGTTAAAAACTAAGGTTTTAGAGAAAAATTTAACACCAATGGAGAGAGAGAGGTTTCAGAATGAGACAGGTTTAACAGTGGTTAAGAAAGTTAAATACCTGGGGATTAACATGACAGCAAAAAATGGGAATTTATTTAAAGATAACTATGAAAAATGTTGGGCTGAAGTGAAAAAGATTTAGAAATTTGGTCAAATTTGAAGCTTTCACTGCTGGGCCGTATTGCTGCGGTTAAAATGAATGTATTGCCTAGAATGTTGTTTTTGTTTCAAACATTGCAAATTGTGGACAAAATGGACTGTTTCAAGAGGTGGCAGAGAGATATTTCTAGATTTGTCTGGCAGGGCAAGAAGCCCAGAATAAAATTCAAAATATTAACAGATGCAAAGGAAAGAGGTGGATTTGCCCTGCCAGACCTCAAACTTTATTATGAATCAGCAGCTTTTTGCTGGTTGAAAGAATGGCTGCTTCTTGAAAACACTGACATTTTGGATCTAGAAGGCTTTAACAATGTATTTGGATGGCATGCATATCTGTGGTATGATAAGGTCAAAGCACATAAAGCATTTAAAAACCATATTGTCAGGAAAGCATTGTTTAATGTCTGGATAAGATATAAGGATTTATTGGAAAATAAAACACCAAGGTGGCTGTCACCGATGGAAGCGAAAGCTCTGAAAAAGCTCAATATGGAGGTCAAATGGCCGAAATATTGGGAAATTTTGGAACAAGATGGAGATAGATTGAAACTGCAGAGTTTTGAAAAACTAAAAAACAAAGTGCGAGACTGGCTTCATTATTATCAGATAATGGAGGCATACAATTTGGACAAGAAAATCGGCTTCCAGGTGGAAAAATCAAAATTAGAAACAGAATTGTTAGAACCCAAAACTAAGATTTTGTCAAAGATGTATAACTTGCTGTTGAAATGGAATACTCAGGATGAAACGGTGAAATCTGCTATGATTAAATGGGCACAAGATGTTGGACATGACATAATGTTTGCTGACTGGGAACAGTTGTGGACCACAGGTATGAAATTCACGGCATGTAATGCCTTAAGAGAGAATATTATGAAAATGATATACAGGTGGTACATAACCCCAGTCAAGCTTGCAAAAATCTACCATTTGCCCGATAACAAATGTTGGAAATGTAAAGAAACTGAAGGTACATTCTTTCACCTTTGGTGGACGTGCCCAAGGATTAAGGTTTTCTGGGAGATGATTTATAATGAATTAAAAAGGTATTTAAATATACCTTCTTGAAGAAACCAGAGGCCTTCCTCCTGGGCATAGTCGGCCAATCGGTGTTAAAGAAGGACAGAACTTTCTTTATGTATGCTACAACAGCAGCAAGAATACTTATTGCAAAGCATTGGAAGACACAAGATCTACCCACACTGGAGGAATGGCAGATGAAAATGATGGACTACATGGAATTGGCGGAAATGACTGGCAGAATCCGAGACCAGGGAGAAGAGTCGGTGGAAGAAGATTGGAAGAAATTTAAAGACTACTTACAGAAATATTGTAAAATTAATGAATGTTAGAATGATGTCGGATTGAAGTTAAGTGGTTTCTAGCTGTAATGGTATAAAAGAATATGGAAAAATTGGTTTTTAATACGTAAAAATTTAATGTTATAATATATCAAGATTAAAGATCAGGATTAAAAAGGAGGGAAAGGAATTGCTGGACTAACAAATTGAATTGGAATACAAAAGAGGGTGGTATGAGGAGGTCCTGGAAACAAGTAAATGTAAGAGAAGTGATGAAAAGATGGAATTGTTTTTAACTGTTTTTTCTTTTTTTGTATTTTGTATTTTTCCTTTTTATTGTTAATTTTCTTATTAATGTAATTTTTTTTCTTTTCTTTTGAAATTTTAATAAATATCATTTTATAAAAAAAAAGAGGAGGAGGAAGGAGGAGGAGGAAGAGGAGCTGGAGGGGATGCAGTGAATGAAAATGTGGATGGAACCACACAGTTATGAAGAGTGGCCCCACAAAAAATCCCTTCACCTTCTTAATTTTTTCCTGACTTTTAAAATTGTGATTGCAGGAGATGGAAGAACATTGTTGTTGGCTACTTGCAGTTTAGTAGCGCTGCAGAGAGCTTGCTGGGGAGACCATGCATGACAAGGAACTCAAAAATAACTTTAGCAAGGTTTTAATAACAAAACAAAAACTCCTTTTACACTAAAGATAACATCAAACATGACCCAACCACCAACCCACCCCCCAGTGTAGTGAGAGAGCTAGGTGCTGCTCCTTATACACTATCCCCAAATGCTGACACAGCTTAATTAACACAACCTAGCAGCACCCGCTATGTTTCACAGTGTAAGACTGGGTCTCGTTATTTGCCCTGGCCCTTAAAGACATACACAACTTATAATAAACCGATAATAAATGTTGGAAATGTAAAGAAACTGAAGGTACATTTTTTCACCTTTGGTGAACGTGCCCAAAGATTAAGGCTTTCTGGGAAATGATATATAATGAATTAAAAAGGGTATTTAAATATACCTTCTTGAAGAAACCAGAGGCCTTTCTCCTGGGCATAGTCGGCCAAACGGTGTTAAAAAAGGATAGAACTTTCTTTATGTATGCAACAACAGCAGCAAGAATACTCATCGCAGAGTATTGGAAGACACAAGAGCTTCCCACACTGGAGGAATGGCAGATGAAACTGATGGACTATATGGAACTGGCAGAAATGACTGGTAGAATCCGTGACCAGGGAGAAGAGTCAGTGGAGGAAGATTGGAAGAAATTCAAAGATTACTTGCAGAAACATTGCAAAATTAAAGAATGTTAGAGTGATGATGGATTAAAATTAAGTGGTTTCTAGCTGCACAGGCTTTAAAGTTATATACAGACTAAGATTAAGGATTAGGAATAAAAAGGTTAAAAGAATGGAAAATTGGCTATTAATAGATAAAAATTTAATGTTATATTATATTAAGATTAAGGATTGGGATTAAAAAAGAGGGAAAGGAATTGCTGGACAAACAAACTGAATTGGAATACAAAAGAGGGAGGTATGAGGAGGTCCAGAAAATAGGTAAATTCAAAAGTAGTGATGAAAAGATGGATTTGTTTTTAACTGTTTTTTCTTTTTTTCTTTTTGTATTTTGTATTGTGTATTTTTCTTTTTACTTTTAAATTCTTTTTTATTGATGTGTCTCTTTTTATCTGAAACTTTAATAAATATCATTTAAAAAAAAAATAAAGACATACACAACTTGTGAAACAATAATGAACCTTCACATTTTACAGTGACCATTCAACAATTGTAAGTGCCCGGGTTCCCTCTCATAGGGTGTGTGTGTGTGCCTGTTGATTTGTGTTAAGATGGTTGTGGTATTTAAGAACAGATGAGGAGGTGAGGCTCAATAGTCTTGAGACATACCTCAATAAAATGGGTATAAAAAATCTACTTCATAGGAGCATGGGAAGGGCCATTGGCAGTGCTACATAATAATAATAATAATAATAATAATAATAATAATGAATTTATTTATACCCCGCCCTCCCCAGCCAAGACCAGGCTCAGGGCGGCTAACAACCAATAATAAAAATAAGTTGATTAAAATACAACTTAAAAAACAAGATTAAAATACATTAAAACATTAAAATGCAGCCTCTTCACAGGAGGAGAAAGGAAAAAAGAAAGAGGGGGAGGGAATCAAATTGATTCTAAGCCAGAGGCCAGGCGGAACAACTCTGTCTTACAGGCCCTCCGGAAAGAAATCAGATCCCGCAGGGCCCTGGTCTCACGAGACAGAGCGTTCCACCAGGCCGGGGCCAGTGCTGAAAAGGCCCTGGCACTGGTTGAGGCTAATTTGACTTCCTTAGGGCCCGGGACCTCTAGTGTGTTGCTATTTATGGACCTTAAGGTCCTCCATGGGGCATACCAGGAGAGGCGGTCCCGTAGGTACGAGGGTCCTAGGCCGTGAAGGGCTTTAAAGGTCAAAACCAGCACCTTGAACCTGACCCTGTACTCCACCGGGAGCCAGTGCAGCTGGAAAAGCACTGGGTGAATATGCTTCCATGGCAGAAACCCCGTGAGGAGACTTGCTGGAGTTTCTGGGACAGCTTCAAGGGCAGCCCCGCGTAGAGCGAATTACAGTAGTCAAGCCTGGAGGTGACTGTCACATGGATCACTAGAAAAAGAGGTGCCAGAACTTGGCATGAACACCTCTCTCATTTTCTTTGAATGGCAATGGCTCCCATCTAATGGGGGGGCAAGCCCTGACCATTGCTACGTTCACTAGAAGTGCCCTATAGAGTCCAACAATGATGTGTTCTGGCCAAGGGTTGCCCAAGAAGAGACTGACCGTAACCCCGGAAAAGCCAGTCAAACGTGGCTTGCTCTCCACGGCCACCAAACTCTTCGGACTGGTTCACCAGAGCCTCCTTCACGGCATTGTATCCACATAAGACCACAACACGGCGGGGCCCTAAGTGGATGGTGTAGACAGGACCATATTTCTCACGGATCTGTGAAAAGAGGGGGAGGGCATTGTGTGAGGTCATGGAACAGATGGAGAGATGGAGCAAATACATAGACTAGTTTTTAGGAAGACAAGGAAGCTTGTTGTTGTTTAGTGCTTGCTGATTGCATTATCCTGGCCAGTCTTTTGAAATGAGGCAATCTTACTCTGCGAATGTATCTTCCCTTAGACAGAAGTCCACTTACTGGCTCATTGTTCCCTTTCCTTGAGGCACCTTGATCCAGGGAGCTCTGTCTGCTCAGCCTTTCCTGCCTTCCTGACATGTCTTGCCCCTGTCTTTCACCAACACATGATAGCCAGTGTTTTTGAATTCTGGTGCTGGAGGAGACTCTTGAGAGTCCCATGGACTGCAAGAAGATCAAACCTCTCCAGTCTGAAGGAAATCAGCCCTGAGTGCTCACTGGAAGGACAGATCGTGAAGCTGAGGCTCCAAGACTTTGGCCACCTCAGGAGAAGAGAAGACTCCCTGGAAAAGACCCTGATGTTGGGAAAGATGGAGGGCACAAAAAGAAGGGGACGACAGAGGACGAGATGGTGGGACAGTGTTCTCGAAGCTACCAGCATGAGTTTGACCAAACTGCAGGAGGCAGTGGAAGACAGGAGTGCCTGGCGTGCTCTGGTCCAGGGGGTCACGAAGAGTCGGACATAACTAAACGACTAAACAACAACAATCTATGCTTGATGAGCCGCTTGAGACACAAGAAGCGAACCTTCTAATGTCTGGTTGAGGAATGTGCACTTGGAGCGTTCCTGCACTGCAGGGGTTGGGGTACATGACCTTTGGGGTCCCCTCCTTCCACACTTCTAGGCTTCCAAGTCCCCAAGTGGCTTGCAAAATGATTGAGGGGGCTTGGCGCTTGGCCAGGAGGTGAGAGGGAAGGCGGCTGGATGAACGGACAGGCGTCCAAAGAGTTACCTTCATCAGTGACTGATACATATCCTTTGTGTTGACTTGCAGCAGGTTCCCAATGAAGGGCAGCGGAGTCGGTCCAGGTGGCAGCTTCTCTTTCTTCTTCCATGCCGAGAGGAACAGCAAGCAGAAGAGGAAGGAGGCCAACAGGAGGGTCCATGGGCCCAGGATGTCCATGGGGCAGCTGGATGGCAACCTGCAGGTGAGGAGCAGAGGAAGAGCGTTCCTAGCATTGACTTGGGGGAGGGACTGCTAGGCCTGGGAATATTTCCCTCCCCGTCAGGTCCACAGGGAGGGCGTTGTTTGCTCCTGGATCTTCTGCAGATTCATTCACTGTGATGGCCTGGGATTCGGACTCGGATGCTGAACCTGAGGGATCCCAGCCTGCACAGGAGTCCCCACCTCCAGAACCAGCTGAGCCGGGGCAGGGGCATGAGCCTGAAGGGTCCTCACTTGTGCTGGGTCCTCAGGTGCAGGCACCAGCTGAGTCTGCTCTGGCTCCTGAGGTGATAGAGGACCCATTGCCTGCAGGTGCTCCTCTCTCAGCCCCGTCAGAGGAAACTGAGGTTGCCTCTGGGTCCGCTAACCATCCAGCCTCTCCTGAGCTGCAGAGGCTCAGGGCAGAGAGGCAGAGGGAACTAAGTTCCCGCAGGAGGAGTGCTCGCCTCCAGGGCAGGAGAGGCAAGTCACCAGAGGATCGGGGCTGCCCTATGCCTTGGGGCAGATAAAAGCTAGTCAGCCCAGTCCCAAGTTGCAGAAGCAAAATTGTTGGTTGCTAGTTCCTGCCTGAACTATGTCCTGCTTTCCTGCCTGAGCTCCTGGCCTGCCCTGGCTCCCTGCTTGCAAGCCTGTTCCTGACTTCACCCAGCTCCCTGCCCTGCACCCAGCTTCAGCTATAATAATAATAATAATTTATTATTTATACCCCACCCATCTGGCTGAGTTTCCCCAGCCACTCTGGGTGGCTTCCAATCAAATGTTAAAAACAATACAGCATTAAATATTAAAAGCTTCCCTACACAGGGCGTTCTCGTTGCACCTTTGACCACGGACCACACTTCGACCTCACCTCTGGGGTAACCCATGGGACCAGCACATTCACTTTTATATTATCCCTTCCTGCCAACTCCGTTTTAAAAAAAAATTAAAGGCTATGTGGCATAGTGGTTAGAGTGCCGGAGAATGAACTAGAAGAGGTCAAATCACCACCACTTGGCCATGACGCTCACTGGGTGTGACCTTGGGGGGCCAGTCACAGCCTCTCAGCTCAGCCTACCTCACAGGAGTGTTGTAAAAGTAAAATGGGGAGGAGGAGGAGAGCCCTGCGTAGCACCTGGAGGCCTTTAGAGGAAAAAGTGACGAGGAAATGTCATAAATAAAGGATAGAGAAAGAAATAACCTTTTTGCTGCAGTCCATTTATGCCCCACACCCAAGCTCTTCCTGAGGTTTCCAGGATGATTGCCACTTTCCTTAAAATCTCTGGTTGCCAAGCTTTCATAAGGGTAAGGGGTAAAGGGACCCCTGACCATTAGGTCCAGTCGTGGCCGACTCTGGGGTTGTGGTGCTCATCTCGCTTTATTGGCCGAGGGAGCCGGCGTACAGCTTCCGGGTCATGTGGCCAGCATGAATAAGCCGCTTCTGGCAAACCAGAGCAGTGCACGGAAACGCCGTTTACCTTCCCGCCGGAGCGGTACCTATTTATCTACTTGCACTTTGATGTGCTTTCGAACTGCTAGGTTGGCAGGAGCAGGGACCGAGCAACGGGAGCTCACCCCGTCGCGGGGATTCAAACCGCCAACCTTCTGATCGGCAAGTCCTAGGCTCTGTGGTTTGACCCACCACGCGACCCGCGTCCCTCAAGCTTTCATATCCCCCTCTAAAATGTCCAGGGGGAGGGGTAGGAGAGAGACACAGCTCAATAGGGAAATTGGCATGGACGTATAGCCACGCTGGCCGTTCGGTGTCCAAGCAATTTGTCCCCTGATCCTGGTTAAGACAAAAAACGAGGACTCCCTCCCATCCACCACGGCTCAAAGGTCTTGCAAACGCCTCCATCCCTACCTTCGTCGGCTACTCAGTCTGTCCTGCTCCCTTCTCAAACTCCTAGCTGCACACAGGTCCACACCCTTTGCAGCGTCTTACTGAGTTACCCAGAGGGGGGAAGCAGTGGAGGAGGAGCAGAGACTTGGGAATTGTCCTTAAACCACACCCACAGTTGCAGCCATGGACCAAGCCACCCTCCCAGCATCCCTATTTTCCAGGGACAGCCCTGGATTTACAGAAGCCAGATTTACAGATGCCAGAATTACAGAAGCATGGACCATCTCTGGAAAATAGGAACTGGGGTTCTCTACAGCCTTAAATGAGCCAGATGTATGGGTGCTCCCTGCACCAGAGGAGGACCATGCTCCTGCTTTATCGGCAGGAGATAAGTATTTTGAAAGCTTTGCTTGTTTGGCTTGCATAACTTGTTCCACTCTTTCTTTCTTTTTTGCATTCTTGTGGCCACCCCTATCTGGAAAAACATTTGTGACATGTGACACACTCTTTGCAAACTAGTCTAAATTAATTAGAAAGGCTTCAAGGGCAGGCGAACTTTGGACTTCTGTCCTCCTCTGGTCTCCCCTCCATAAAATATTGAAACCAATCAACACAAAGTTAAAACAAACTGAAAACTTGAGAGCTGCGGAACGACCAAGATGAGTCTCCTCTTCGCCAGTGTGGTGTAGTGGTTAAGAGCGGTAGTCTCATAATCTGGGGAACCGGGTTCGCATCTCCGCTCCTCCACATGCAGCTGCTGGGTGACCTTGGGCTAGTCACACTTCTCTGAAGTCTCTCAGCCCCACTCACCTCACAGAGTGTTTGTTGTGGGGGAGGAAGGGAAAGGAGAATGTTAGCTTCTTTGAGACTCCTTCAGGTAGTGATAAAGCGGGATATCAAATCCAAACTCTTCTTCTTCTTCTTCGCCAGCCAGTAGACCTTCTTTGCTTTTATTACAAATACAAATGCAACATCTTTCTCAAGAAAACCTTTCTCTGCAGCCTGGAAGATCTGGAACTAGCCTTGAAAATCAGATAATATGAATATTCTTTACTTGAACTTTGTTATTCTAAACCATGAGCGATTATACTCATTCTGTGTGCCTGGTTTTGGTTTTTTTGCTATTTACTTTTCATCTGCTGTTATAACTGTTCTGTTTTATGTACCTTATAAAATGCGTGTGGGGGGGGGAGAGATAAAAGGAAATCAAATCCCTAATCCAGCCTCCCCCCCCCCAAAAAAAAGTTCTCCTGAAAATTCATCAGCCTTTTAGTGCAAATTTCTCCTCACATTGCCTTTTTTTATGTGCACAATTGCCTAATAAGCACATTTCCTTAATGCAATAAATCATTTCCCCAATGCAATGCATCTGTGTATGTTATTTTCTCTGTTATAGACCTTTTTATGCATGCTTTGTACTGCCAGGAAATGCATCTTGGTACCCTTTACTTGGCTGGGGGACTTACACTGCAAAATTCGGAGAAACGCAAATTTCAAGGCATGGCAGCAATCCAGTTCGTGGCTTGTTTCCAAAAGCACACAGCCTCCAGTGAAACACATCCCTTGCTTCCCATTTTACTGCTCTTGTAACAAAGCTATTTGCTTTGGTCACATTTGTATTTAAAGGCTTTCAATGCAAAACCCGTTTCCCAACTCCTGTACGCTTCAGGTGTCTGGCATAATGGGGACCTGCCTAAGCCAAATGGCTTTCAGGCAAAATTTCTACGATCTCTGCTGCAGGTACCCAACAGCGTCCCCAACTCCGTACTTCTGTTAGAAGCTGGTGAATGCCCAATTTCAGCTAAAGCGTGGTGGGTTGCCCTAAAACATTGGCTCAGGATTTCAGTGTTTGATCTAGGGAAGGGTTTGTACCAACACCTGGCCAATGAGGAGTTTGTCAGCAAATGGCAGAAAACCAGGGCTAGAAAAGCCACCTCTATTGGTCTGTCACCCCCCCCAACTTTATTACCTGGGTTATGAAGGCGCCCGAAAAGACGTTAAAGCAAAGATTATGGGATAATACACACAGTGACTTGCAATCTCAATCACACGCAGTCTGTAGTCTACTGGCAGTAGGAGTACAATATGGGCATGTCTTTAAGTTAACATCTTACATTAAAAACCTGACAGTACCAAATTATTGAAGGTTATTCACCAAAGCCAGACTAAACGTCTTTCCTTCTGCAGTGTTGGATGGCAGGTTGAGAGGAGTTCCCTACCAAGACAGACTTTGCTCGTGTGCTCAAGACATCGATTCCATAAAACATATTTTGCTGCACTGTACGAAATATGAGCAAGCCAGGGCTGAACTGATACTACCCTTGCTGGTACCTTTCCCGGGAAAATCAAGGCTCACTATGTCAGGTTCCCATTGGAAGACCGGACAAACGCTAGAACATTAGCAGTGGCGAAGTTTTATCGATGGTTGCAAGAACAAATAATCCCTATAGTCTGAACAAAATGCTTGTTTAACCTGGAGGTAGGCTGTATGAATTGTGCATTGCTTTGTAACGATTTGTTGGGTCTCTGGACTATAATAAAGATTGATTGATTTAAAGTTCTGAGTTGTCTCAAGTCACAAGGTAGTCAGTTATTGGTAATAGCTGTTGGTTTTCATATGAATTAGTTGGCTTCAGGCACCAGAGCCATTGGAGACCAACTCTGCACTACAAAAATGTCTGCAAATGTAACCTGAAGGCTGGCAACATCAACCCCACTAGGTGGGAATCCCTTGCAGATGACCTTAATGTCTGGAGACATTAGCAGTGACCAGAGGAGGAATGACCGCTGGAAGGAGCACAGAGAGAAGAAACGCCCTGGTGCATCTGCAGCAGCACATCTGGATGCCTACATCTGCCCCATCTGCAACAAAACATGTTTCTCCTGTGCAGATCTCTACAACCACAGCAGGCGCTGTAACTCTCTAATGGTTTGACTTCACCCTCAAAGGTGCCCTCTTCCATTGTCTCCCAAGATAGACGGATGTCAACCAGTTATTGTACATCTGTGGTGGGCAAAGGTTTGTGCATGTTTGGTAAGTAAAAGGTAAAGGGACCCCTGACCATTAGGTCCAGTCATAGCTGACTCTGGGGTTGCAGCGCTCATCTCGCTTTATTGGCCGAGGGAGCCGGCATACAGCTTCCGGGTCATGACTAAGTAACTATATGTAAATACATAATGCTATTAAATTTCCCTCACCCATATGTAAGAAGGTGTATAAATATTTTTCATGCAATATTCTTTGCTGCATATTCTTTTTTTAACTGCAGGGTGTTATAAGAATTCTAAGGTCTCAAATATAAATTAAATGTTCATAAATGTATGGTGCAAACACATACATAAGTATATAAACCACGTGTCTGAAATAGTACAGGAGAGCAATCCTGAAGCCATTTTGACTCTCCCAAATTGACCCTCAAATATTTCTCTGCAAGGAGAAAAGAAATGGGAAAGCCTCCCCATTGTCTTTTGCTTACAAATCCTCTCTTAAGGGCGCACTTGTGTATGAATAATAGGGTGAGCCTGTGACCTGGATTCAGGAACTAAACCATCACAAAAGAATTACCAGGCCGCCCAAGGAAAGCAATCAGTGACCATTAGCAGGTATCCTGGACAAACATGATTTCTGCTGTAGACTGCCTCCTTCTGTGATGTATATACATATGCTGTTTTGGAGGGTGATCTTGGGCTACAGGGTGGGCAATTTCAAAAGTCTATATAAGGGCTTGCGCACCATTGTTCTGGATTCTCTCCTGCCTTCTGTGTGTGGTGACCGGGGACCCTGTTGTAACAGTTCCTTTAATAAAGATCAGGCTTACTAGCCGCTTTGCTTCTCAATATACTCTGGTTGGTTTCTGTTATTTTCTCCTACTGATAGGGAGCCCACTTAAGGACTCTATACAGGCTCTTGGATACCCCATAAGGGAAAACGAGCAGTTGTTGTTTTTCTTATAACAGTTTGGCGAGCCAGCCAGGAGTTTCGGTTGACCGGATTCTGGGGGCGAGGAATTAGATATATCCATTTTTGCAAATGTTTATTTTTTTCAATAAATGTGCAATTCATTGTGGCTGTTTTGAAACCCCTTGTGCTATTCATCCGCCCATCCATCCATTCAACCTCTATTGGCATAATTTGTATTTTTACTTTCCATAGTGGGTTGTGTGGCAAGTTCCCGCCTCCCACCAGTGGTAATAACGACACATGACACCATAATTAAGGTTAATGGGCTAAAATTGGCCACAACTTTATTGGTTACAGGTAAGAGCGGTATTGGCTTAGGCATTGGTTCTGTCATTCTATCTGGCTTCAGCCTGATGGCATGAAGACTGGCAAGGGTTAACACCAGCAGGGGGAGCCCTGCTGATGCACATCAACTAGGTAACTCCCCCGGGGTCACGGCTTGGGGCGCACTTTAGGCACTGACCTCCATAGGCTTCGGACGAGGCAACGCCCCCCAGAATCCTTTACCAGACTACCCTTCAATATTTGGGGGAGGTGATGGCGCTCCCCCCAACTCATCTGCATAACAATACCCCTACCAATGCCTAAACCAGGGAAGTTGTGACGATTTGCTACAAGGTAGGCGAAAAACCAAATGGCCAGTGCCAGTTTGCCAAGTGGAAAAAATTCCTACCAGGCCCCTTAACGGCGACCAACCAAGGTCCATAGCAAGGTCAGAAGGAAACCTTGAAGGGCGGGCAGTTGGGAAAACCAATCAGCTGAGTGGTCTGAAAGAGGGCGATCCCCGGGCCGCTCTTGCCTTAAATGGGGCAAGCCACACCCTCCGAGCCAGCCGATTGGCTGGCTCAGGGGATGACGCGGCCCGAGGATTCCCCAGATCACGCGGGGCTGCAAGCCAGCCACTGCGAGCGTGAAGCCCGCAACACCACCTCCTCCCAAGGTCGGAAGTGGCTTTGTGCAAACCAATATTCTAATGACAGGGAAGGGGATGAGTTCATGGAGCCAAGGGGGAGGTCCTCCAGAAAAGCTTGGCAACCATTGATTTAAACAGAAATGCAGCCCATCTCATCCTAGCAGGGAAGGGGACTGTGGCCAGGTGAGTTGGGTGCTTGTTCTGCCTGCTGCCCAAAAGGGGTGACCTCAAGGCTTCTGCTGTCTTCCTTTCTTCTGATGGTGCTGCTCTTCCTTGCATGGGCAGGCCTTCAAATAGAGGACTGTCCTACATGGCCAATCTCTCAGGAGTGCAGAGGTACTGAGAGAGAAACTGAGATCTCCTTGCGCCGCAACACAGGAAGGGAGAGATCAGTGTTGGCGCCAGCACGCTGACAGCTGGTATTTTGGGGGCACCTTCCCAACGCCCACGGCCACCGGTGCGAGGCTGATCTGGCTGGGGGGCACAGGGGACTGGAGGGTGAAGGATTGCAGGATGGTGGTGAAGAAGAGGAACAGCTCCATGCGGGCCAACCCTTCGCCCATGCAGATACGCTTCCCTGCCAGGAGAAAAAAACAAAATCTGTCGGGCAGTGTCAAGGGACAGGAAGAGGAATCGAGACGCGAAGTGCAGTCAGCTTTTATTCGCAACAGCAAAAATATAACAGAGTTCATCTGGGCTAATCTGCCCTAGTTGAAGATGTTGCTGCAATTGGTGTCTGGCCCCTCCTTCCCTCTCTAGTCCTCTCCCTCTGGACTCCTCCCAAGCAGACATAAATGGCGCTGAGGGCAAGGAAACCCCCTCTGGGCCTGCAGGCCCCATTGCGCAGCAACGTGCAAGGTTCTTCATGATCTAGGTGTCAGTGGAGGAGGAGAGCTAGCTGGAGGGCTGTCTGGCTGCTGTGCCGAAACCTACCCGATTAAGCCGATCAAAAACTCAGTGGGTGCAAGATGTAGTGGGAACAATTACTGATAGACACCAATAGCTTACGGCATAGAGGCAGTAAAAGAAAGTCTTAAGTAGCTGTTGCCTGCAAGGTTGGTCTAGAAGATTCAAGGTGTCTTTGTGTGCTATTATAGGTAAAATGTAAAGGACCCCTGTACGGTTAAGTCCAGCCAAAGGCGACTATGGGATTGCGGCGCTCATCTCGCTTTCAGGCCGAGGGAGCCGGCGTTTGTCCACAGACAACTTTCCGGGTTATGTGGCCAGTAGGACTAAACCGCTACTGGCGCAACGGAACACCGTGACAGAAACCATCCTCTGATGTAAAGAGTGTACAATTTTTTAAAAAATTAAAACTTCAAAAAAAGGGGGGCACCGTTTACCTTCCCACCACAGTGGTACCTGTTTATCTACTTGCATTGTTGTGCTTTTGAACTGCTAGGTTGGCAGGAGCAGGGACTGAGCAATGGGAGCTCACCCTGCTGCGGGGATTCGAACCGCCGATCTTCTGATCGGCAAGCCCAAGAGGCTTAGTGGTTTATACCACAGCACCACCCGCGTCCCTTATGCTATTATAACATACATTTAAACAGTACCTCCTCCATGAGAGGTCCAGAAGGTTGCAACATGGGAACAGGCCTTTTCTGCAGTGGCTCCCCGTTTGTGGGGTGCTTATAAATTATAAATCTTTAGGTGCCAGGCATAATTGTTCCTCTTTAAACATGTGTCAAGGCTGCCTCAGGTCTCAGCTCACAAAAGACCAACGCCAATCTCTTCTTATATACAAAAGTGTTTATTGCAGTTCATTGATTGCTTCATATCCGAGGCGCGCAGCCTCACGTCTGTACGCTTAGACCGTTGAAGTCCCCTCTGAGTCAGTCCCTCCCCTGCACCAGTTTAAGAGCCTTGCGCTGCTCCACCTCTTTCTCTCTTTCCTTTTCCTCAGGGTCTTTCTGCCCGCTGGGGTTTCGCCCCTCCTGGATTCCCCTGACGCGCTATCCCCCGACTGCTCTTCCCCCCTCCTGCGGGCTTTAGGACCTGGCCCTTCCTCCGGGCTCCCTGTACTTCCGCGCGCCTCTACATTTGAACTTGGCGTGCGCGCCCAACCTCTAACTTTCCTTTTGACAGTTACACTACTCCCTTCACTACTCCCCTCCCCTTCCGGGAGGATGGCTTGCTCCGACCTCCCTCCCTTCTCTGCTGCCGGAGCTGCTTCCCCTGATACACTGGAACCTCCACCCCCTTCGCTGCACTCTGGCGGGGAGGCTGGTCCTGACGCCCAGCTGCCACTTTGGGATCCCCCGCTGGCCCCCTGTTCCTGACACGTCCCCCCTGGGGCTCCCCTGGCCTTGACCACTGGCGCCCCCTTCTGGGAATCCTCTGATTCGCTGGAAAGACTCATGGAATCTCTTGAGTCATTGTCATCCTCTTCCTCGCTGTCCTGGGATTCATCCCCATCGCTCTCCATCTCCTCCCTACCCTGTGCCTCTGTCCCTGAACCCCTGACAACATGCCTTTGGCCTCTAACTATCTGTGGCCTCTTGCAGTGAGTGGGGTGTTTGTAATGTATTCTTTTAATGGGGCGTGCAGCAACAGGTTGCTAAGTGGTCAACCCAGCCCCTCTCCCATGCTGTCCTTGGCAGGTATAATGCAGGAGAGCCCTGCAGGATCAGGCCCCCCAGCCCTGCATCCTGTTCTTCCAGTGGCCCCCAGATGCCTGCGAGAAGCCAAGTCAAGTAGGACCAGAACAGAGGTTCCTTTCTCTGACCCTCCTGAGAAGGATGGCCCAGAAATGAATCTCATAGGAGAGAGACAACCCACCAACCCCACTCCCCACTTCCCTCCCGTTGGAATGGAAGGAGACCCCTCCCTCCCCACGTACCTGCTGAGAAAGGCATGAACGCCTCAACCTTCTTGAAGCAGCCTTGGCTATCCAAGAATCTCCCTGGGTCAAACTCTTGAGGGTTGGAGTGCTCCTCTGAGTCATAGTGAACGCTGCTCAGCAAAGGATAGATGTAGGTCCCCTGGGAGAATAGTATTTGTATATATTAAAAAAACACACATAAGAAGCCCCTGGCTGCTGGATCAGGCCAAAGGGGACCCTTCTGCTCCAGCACCCTGTTCTCACAGTTGCCAAATACCCCCTTAGGAGCCCAGGAGTCTAGACGGACTTGACCTGGAAGTGGGGGGCACTGAGCTCAAATCCTTTCCCCACCCCATCCTAGGAGTCTCACACCAATTGTTTTGAGGGCCCAAAGGCTGGATCCTGGTCCCTCTGTCCTTGCTGAGGGGCCTGCTGCGAATCTTACCTTGGGGATGACGTAGCCCTTGAAGTTGATGTCTTTGGTGGCAGCGTGAGGAAGACTCATGGGTAGGATATCGCTGAACCTCTGGATCTCGTGCAAGACAGCTTCCATGTAAGGCATTTTGTTCCTGTCCTCAGTGGCTGGCATCCGGTCCCTCCCAATCACTCGATCGATTTCCTCGTGGAGTTTTTCTTGGGGGAAAAGAGAGCGGTTGGGCTGAGATTCCTGCATTACAGAGGGCTGGACAAAATGACCTTTTGGATACCTTCCAACTCTGCCGTTCTGTGATTCTATGACCGAGCACCTGTTCACAATCAGGATAGGACTGTTTCCACCACCCAAAAACAGCAACTTAAAATTTTGGGGGAAGGCCTTGATGCGACATTATATGTTGAGTGCCAACTGGCTACAGTGGCAAGGAGTGCCTTTTGCCATCCATGACTGGCCCTCCAGTTATGGCCATTTCTGGACTGGGGTAGCCTATTCCCAAGTGCCCCCGTCTCCAACCCCGCTCGCTCTCGGAGCTCTTTTCAAGAGCTTACCGGGGAGCGGGAGAGTCGCTCCAGGCACCCGCAGGAACACCAGGTCCTCGGAACGCTCAATCCGAGATTTTTTTCGGGGTACCACGACGCTCTAGCGGTCTCCCCCAACCTCCAAAGCACCGGTGCCCTTTCAGATGAAAGAGCTCCCGTCCGCCATAACGGGCGACCAACCGGAAGTCCAGTTATGGCCATTTCTAGACTGGGGTAGCCTGGACACGCATCTACATGCCCTGTTAATCTCACATTTTGACTACTGCAGTCAGTTCTAGTTGGGGCTTCCCATGAGGGTGGAAAATGCCTATAATTTATTTATTTAATTATTTTGCCGCTAGGAACCAAAGGAGGGGAGAGGGCTTAAATCACAGAATCACAGAGTTGTAGAGTTGGAAGGGATCCTGAGGGTCATGTAGTCCAGCCCCCGGCTCTTGTGCTCCAATCCTCTTTGCAGGTTTCCCACTGAGCCGCTGTGAAAAGAGGAAGCTGGACTAGATGGGCCCCCTTTGGCTTGACCCAGCAGAGACCTATACAGTGGTGCCTCGCAAGACGAAATTAATCCGTTCCGCGAGTCTCTTCGTCTTGCGGTTTTTTCATCTTGCGAAGCACGGCTATTAGCGGCTTAGCGGCTTAGCGGCTATTAACGGCTTAGCGGCTTAGCGGCTTTAAGAAAAAGGAAACAAACTTGCAAGAACTCGCAAGACGTTTCGTCTTGTGAATCAAGCCCATAGGGAAATTCGTCTTGCAGAACGACTCAAAAAACGGAAAACTCTTTCGTCTAGCGAGTTTTTCGTCTTGCGAGGTATTCGTCTTGCGGGGCACCACTGTAAAGGCCTTTTCAGAAAGACAGAATGACAGACCAGTGTGAAGATGTTGAGCTTTCTCAAATATATAAACAATCCACACGCCCCCTCTGTGGGGACATGAGCCCTTAGGGTCTATGCTGCTGCCTTCCATCGTCAGCTTGTTCTGTTCCTGTAGCAATTCATGTGTCTCACTTTTTGGAGGGAGGTTTCTTCCTTCTGCCCTCACCTTGAATCTGTGGGTACTCCCAACAACTTTGTCCACCTCTGGTCCCTACCCAACACTCTTCTCTCACCTGTGGCTCCCAGAAGCTGTCAGCATGCGACAATGGACACACCCTGGGAACAGCTTGGCCTGTAGCTGTAGAAGCTCAGATGATTCTCATAGGTTTCCTCCTGCTGCCCTCACCTTGAATCTGTGGATACTTCAGCATGGTGAGGATACCAGATGCCCTAGGCTTTTCCTCCTTTTGGGCGTATGGAGTGATAGGGGAGTGGTAGTACCTCTGGTTGGGGACACGTCCTACTCCTTCTGGGGTACTTTGTCTGCCTCTGGTCCCTACCCAACACTCTTCTCTCACCTGCGGCTCCCAGAAGCTGTCAGCATGCGACAATGGACACACCCTGGGAACAGCCTGGTCTGTAGCTGTAGAAGCTCAGATGATTCTCATAGGTTTCCTCCTTCTGCCCTCACCTTGAATCTGTGGATACTTCAGCATGGTGAGGAATCCATATCTCAGGGTGGTGCCGATCGTCTCCGTCCCAGCAAAGAACAAGTTGAAGGTGGCCATTACCAAATTCTCCATGCAAAATTCAGAAGCCGGGTTATTCTTTTCCTGCCAAGAGATCAAGGTCAGCTATGATGCCTGCACTGAAAGGGGGGGTCAGACTAGATGACACTTGGGGTCCCTTCCAATTCCACAATTCTCTGAAACCTGCAGACAGCACGTTTTAGGGGGAGCAGATGATGGAGATGAGGAAGTTCATTCCTTACCTGATCCATCTTAACTAAGAAGCAGTCAATGTAGTTGTGGGGGTCAGAGGGATCCAGCGACGCCTGCTGCATCTTGATCCTCTCCTCTATGAAGCGGAGGATCCCCTGGGAACATTTGCTGCCCGCGTGGTGGGATCCGGGGATCTTCTCCATGATCTCTGGGAAAATATTGTACAGCTGTGGGGGAAGAAGATGGGGAGCAATGGAAGGGCGTTACCACATTTGGCTAACTTCAGGTTGTGCCTCTTGCAAACTCAGATTCCACAAAAAGGCAAGTGTTGAGGCTCACGCCTGCCTGGAAACCTTGACTCTTAAAAAACAAAAATGACCTTAACAGATTGGAGAACTGGACGCAAGCTAACAAAATGATTCTCAATAGGGAGAAATGTAAGGTTCTACACTTAAGCAGGAAGAACCAGATGCACAAATAAAGGATGGGGGGCACCTGGCTTACTAGCAGTACATGTGGAAAGTATCTAGGGGTCTTGGTGGACCACAAGCTGAACATGAGTCAACAGTGTCATGCAGCAGCAAAAAATGCTAATGCTATTCTAGGCTGCATCAACAGAAGGCTAGTGTCCAACTCAAGGGAAGTAATAGTCCCACTCTATTCTGCCTTGGTCAGACCACACTTGGAATATTGTGTCCAATTAAGAGTAACTCAATTTATGTTGACAAGTTGGAAGGTGTGTAGAGGAGGGCAACCAAGATGATCAAGGGTCAGGAAGCCAAGCCTGATGAGGAACGGTTGAAGAAGCTGGGTATGTTTAGCCTGGAAAAGGGAAGACTGAGAGGAGATACGAGAGACATCTTCAAATATCTTAAGGGCTGTCACATGGAAGATGGAGCAAGCTTGTTTTCTCCTGCTCTGGAGGGTAGGACTCAAACCAATGGCTTCAAGTTACAAGAAAGGAGATTCTGACTAAACATTCGGGGGGGAACTTCCTGACACTAAGAGCTGTTCAGCAGTGGAACATATTCTCATGAGAGGCAGTGAACTCTCCTTTCTTGGAGGTTTTAAAGCAGAAGTTGGATGGCCACCTGTCACGGATGCTTTAGCTGGGATTCCTGCATTACAGGGGGTTGGACTAGATGACCCTTGTATCCCTTCCAGCTCTAAGATTCTTTGATTCTGTGACACTATGGAGGGACCCGTTTGACTAAAAGATCTTATTTGACTCAATGCTTACCTTCCAAACCTTACTGAAAGACACTGAAATACTTAAAGAGACCTTAACAGAAAATGCAAACAATCGCTTTTGTTTTCATATGTTATTTTGTTAGTTTCTGTTTGCCACTGTGCAGCTGCTTAGAGTCACAAGACTCTGTTTACATTCCAGAGACATTCCAGGCTATTGGAAGTCTCACGGGAGATGGGAGACGTTACTGGTTTCCTGCTCCTTTGTTTCAGTTGCTCTCTGCTCTCACAGAGAGAGGATGTGTTTTCTGTCTGCGTAGTAAGAAATAAAGCATAGCGATGTAGCCATAAATCTCATCACTTCCGTGTGCTGCTTTGATTCTCTGCTGAATGGGAATGTGCCTGGAGCCTCATCAAAGGCTCTGGTTGTTAATCACGTCGGAGGGCGATTCCGGAAGATGAGCTTTATCAGCTTGGTCGAACGCAGATTCCGACATATTTATGGTTGGTTTGTTGCTGTACATGAGTGTTTCGAATTGTTGCAATGCAAAATGATAAATAAAGAACGTAAAAATAATAATGGCGATGATGGCACACACGAGAGTGGAATACTTTTATTGTTTAATAAGTATTCATTTGCAAAGAGAACCGCTGGAACTGGGCTGCATCTTTGCCCTTTTGCCCTTCCAGACTGTGACACTTTACGGTTTGAATTTTTTATTCTTTGCTTTTTAAAAAACGATAGTGATAATAATCAAGGTGTAGAGATATTGGGGGGTTCTCCGTCCGCCCTCACCTGAGACGGGGGCAGGCTGCCCACACGGAACCGTTCTGTGATCAGGTTGTTCAAAGTGAGGAATTTCTCGTCGTCGTACTGGAACCTATTCCCAAAGACGATGGAGCAGATGATGTTGGAGACAGCTCGGCTGAGGATGAAGGTGGGGTCAAAGGGCGTCCCTAGTGGAGAGAGACAGAAAGCAGGAGGGAAGAAAGAGTTTGTTTGTTTGTTTGTTTGTTTGTTTGTATTTTTCATTTTCATTTTCACACTTGAAACAGTAATCCAAATACAAAATACAAATACGGTCCACGCAATTCATGTTGACTTCCCTCCCAACTCCTTCCACGGTTTATTTTGTTAACTTCTTTTCCACTACATATTATAATTTGTAGTCCCCATTTCTTTCTTTTTTTTCTTTTCTTTTTTCTCAATATCTCTAACTGCTGAATTTACTCTTTTACTGTTAACCTTTTAATACGTTCGCAATGAGTTTCCAGTTAATCTACAAAACATTTCCATTCTTCTTCTAATACTTTCGTGTCCTGATTTCTTATCTTATTTCCCAATCATGCCATTTCTATGTTGTTGTTTAGTCATTTAGTCGTGTCCAACACTTCGTGACCCCATGGACCAGAGCATGCCAGGCACTCCTGTCTTCCACTGCCTCCCGCAGTTTGGCCAAATTCATGCTGGTAGCTTCGAGAACACTGTCCAAAGATCTCATCCTCTGTTGTCCCCTTTTCCTTGTGCCCTCCATCTTTCCCAGCATCAGGGTCTTTTCCAGAGAGACTTCTCTTCACCTGAGGTGGCCAAAGTCTTGGAGCCTCAGCTTCGGGATCTGTCCTTCCAGGGAGCACTCAGGGCTGATTTCCTTCAGAATGGAGAGGTTTGATCTTCTTGCAGTCCATGGGACTCTCAAGAGTCTCCTCCAGCACCAGAATTCAAAAGCATAAATTCTTCAGAGATCAGCCTTCTTTATGGTCCAGCTCCATGGACAAAGACAACAAGCCATTTCTATATATTCTACTAACTTCGTCTGGCCATTCCTCCTTGTTGGTATCATATATATGCCATACAAGCTGCTACAAGAAAGAGTCTGCGTTTCGCAAGAGCACAGAATGGCTACGCCAGCCTCTCAAGTGCAGACCAAGCGCCACAGAGTCTTTTAGAGGCAACCAATCTTTATCAGGGACGCAGGTGGTGCTGTGGTCTAAACCACTGAGCCTCTTGGGCTTGCCAATCAGAAGGTCAGCAGTTCCAATCCCCACGATGGGGTGAGCTCCCATTGCTCGGCCTCAGCCCCTGCCCACCCAGCAGTTCGAAAGCACAAAGTGCAAGTAGATAAATAGGTACCACTCCGGCAGGAAGGTAAACGCCGTTTCTGTGCGCTGCTCTGGTTTCGGTGTTCCGTTACTCCAGAAGCGGCTTAGTCATGCTGGCCACATGACCCGGAAAAACTTTCTGTGGACAAACATTGGCTCCCTCGGGCTGTAAAGCGAGATGAGCACCACAACCCCAGAGTCATCTGCGACTGGACTTAACTGTCAGGGGTCCTTTACCCTTACCTTTAATCTTTATGACCTACCTTGTGTCTTATGGAACTCCTCTGCCAAGCACTGAGCCTCCTCCTGGATCCGCTCCTCGATGGACCGTTTCCCCATCCCGAAATTCCTCAAGGTGGTGAGGCTGAACCTGCGAAGCTGCCTCCACCGATCACCGTTGGAAAAGACCACCCCTGGCCAAGCAATATTATTATTGTTTGTTTGTATGTATGTATGGACCTAAAAGCACCACTGAGCTGTTATTATATAAGTCATTGGTTCCCATTTTTTTTCTGGGGACCACCCCCTTGGTTCCACAAACTCATCCCTATTGCCCTCTCCCCTCCCCTATAATTTATTTGGAATATTTATTTGTTTGTCACATTTATATATTAGATCTATTGGAATAGCGGTTTGTGCAACCCATTAAGCAACATAATTACACAGTGATATTCAAGGCAGCAGCAATTCATTTCACATTTGTTCAAAACCTGATTAGAACTGCTTATTACTACGAATTCCACAAAATTGCGGAACTTCATCCAGCAACACCAGTGCCCTAATCCTGCCACCCCTTGTCTCTTAGCACCTTTCCAGGTGATCCCACTAGCCTCCCCCAGTAGACACTACCACCCACTTTAGGGACCCCTGATGTAATCCATCAGCATCTCAAATTAACATGAACTCCTTGGAAGAGGCCCAGCCATAGAGAAAGCAGTAATTTTCCAATAAAGCTTGTCTCTTCAACATTCATCGTTTTAAACATCGGCCAAGTAACGTGTTACAAAAGTGAATATACAGGGGTAAAGTGTGCATATATTTGTGAAACTTAACATATAAAAATGAGGGACGCAGGTGGCACTGTGGGTTAAACCACAGAGCCTAGGACTTGCCAATCAGAAGGTCGGCGGTTCGAATCCCCACGATGGGGTGAGCTCCCGTTGCTCAGTCCCTGCTCCTGCCCACCTAGCAGTTCGAAAGCACGTCAAAGTGCAAGTAGATGAATAGGTACGGCTCCGGCGGGAAGGTAAATGGCATTTCCGTGCACTGCTCTGGTTCTCCAGAAGTGGCTTAGTCATGCTGGCCACATGACCCAGAAGCTGTACGCCGGTAGCCCTATCTATCTGGATTATAATGTGATCTTGATGGGAGACATGAATGGAGTGGTATCTACACACATGGATAAGGCACAAAGACAGGTAGTCACTAAGGATGGTAGACTACCGAAAACTTTTTTTGAGATGACAGACAACTTGGACTTAGTTGATATCTGGAGAACAAAGAACCCCCTAGCTAGAGAGGGAACCTTCTTCTCTGAAGCCAAATTGACATGGACAAGAATTGTCCAAATATGGGTAACTAGAGGAATGGCACCAAAGATAAGAAAAGCGGAAATCTGCCCAAAAACCTGCTCCGACCATAATGCTGTAAAGATGGAGATGAAACTAATACCAACTGGTTCCTTCAGATGGAGGATGAATGACACCTTATTTAGAGATGAAGTGTTTAAGAAGGCCCAAAAAACCTTGAGAGATTATTTTGAGATAAACATGAACACCAATGTGGATAAAAGAGTAATCTGGGATGCAAGTAAAGCTGTTATGAGAGGGTTCTTGATACAACAGAATGCATTGAAGAAGAGAACCCAAAATGAGAAGAAGGATAAAATTTTGGAGAAAATAAAGGAAAGTGAAAAGAAATTGAGAGCAAAACCAAAGTCGCAAGAGATTTTGAGAGAAATAAAGTTACATCAAGTACAATACATGAAAATGATGAATCAGGAGATAGAATGGAAAATCAAACAAATGAGACAAAAGACATTCGAGTCGGCTAATAAATGTGGGAAATTGTTGGCTTGGCAAATGGAAAAAAGACAAAAATTAAATACAGTTACTAATCTAGAAGTGGAAGGAAGGAATATACAGAACCCAGCTGAAATCAGAAATTGTTTCCAGAGATACTTTAAACAACTATATACACAAGGGCCATAGAAAGAAATTGATTTAGATCGATTCTTGAAAACAAATGGATTACAAAAAATCTCCCAAGAAAATAAACTAATGTTGAACTATAAAATAACTGAACAGGAGATAGAAGGTGCCATTCAGAATATGCAACTAGGTAAATCTCCAGGACCGGACGGACTGACTTCCAGATACTACAGATCTTTAAAAGAATGGCTAGTACAACCTTTGAAAGAAGTCTGTAATGAAATAATGGATGGGAAAAGGGCACCAGAGTCGTGGAAAGAAGCGTATATTACACTTGTACCGAAAACAGAGACTGAAAAGACGCAGCTTAAGAACTACCGCCCCATATCATTGCTTAATGTGGATTACAAAATTTATGCAGATATTTTGGCTAAAAGAGTAAAAAGAGTGCTACTAGAAGAGATACATAAAGACCAAACAGGCTTTCTCCCAGGTAGACATCTATCGGATAATGTGAGAAACATAATCAATATTTTAGAAAAATTACAAGTGAATATAAATACTAAAGCAGTTTTAATATTTGTGGACGCGGAGAAAGCCTTTGACAATATTTCTTGGAGTTTTATGAAGAAGAACTTGCAGGGTATGGGGGTAGGCCAAGGTTTTGAAAACGGTATAGGTGCAATATATTCTGAACAAAAGGCTAAATTAATTGTAAATAATGTGGTGATGGAAGAATTTAAGATAGAAAAAGGGACGCGACAAGGTTGCCCAATTTCCCCATTACTTTTTATATCGGTCCTGGAGGTTTTGCTGAATATGATAAGAAGGGACCAGTTGGTTAAAGGTATACAAGTCAGAGCCAAACAGTACAAATTGAGAGCATTTGCAGATGACTTAGTATTGACGTTACAGGAGCCAGAATCTAGTACCAAAAGGGTTTTAGAACTGATTCAAGAATTTGGTCAGGTTGCAGGGTTTAAACTGAATAAGTCAAAAACCAAGGTTTTAGAGAAAAAATTGAGAGAGAGAGGTTTCAGAATGAGACAGGTTTAACAGTGGTTAAGAAAGTTAAATACCTGGGGATTAACATGACAGCAAAAATGGGAATTTATTTGAAGACAACTATGAAAAATGCTGGGCTGAAGTGAAAAAGATTTAGAAATTTGGTCAAATTTGAAGCTTTCACTGCTGGGCCGTATTGCTGCGATAAAAATGAATGTATTGCCTAGAATGTTGTTTTTGTTTCAAACATTGCAAATTGTGGACAAAATGGACTGTTTCAAGAAGTGGCAGAGAGATATTTCTAGATTTGTCTGGCAGGGCAAGAAGCCTAGAATAAAATTTAAAATACTAACAGATGCAAAGGAAAGAGGTGGATTTGCCCTGCCAGACCTTAAACTTTATTATGAATCAGCAGCTTTTTGCTGGTTGAAAGAATGGCTGCTTCTTGAAAACACAGACATTTTGGATTTAGAAGGTTTTAACAATGTATTTGGATGGCATGCATATCTGTGGTATGATAAGGTTAAAGCACATAAAGCATTTAAAAACCATATTGTCAGGAAAGCATTGTTCAATGTTTGGATAAGATATAAGGACCTATTGGAAAACAAAACCCCAAGGTGGCTGTCACCGATGGAAGCGAAAGCTCTGAAAAAGCTCAATATGGAGGTCAAATGGCCGAAATATTGGGAAATTTTGGAACAAGATGGAGATAGACTGAAATTGCAGAGTTTTGAGAAATTAAAAAACAAAGTGCGAGACTGGCTTCATTATTATCAGATAATGGAGGCATATAATTTGGACAAGAAAATCGGCTTCCAGGTGGAAAAATCAAAATTAGAAACAGAACTGTTAGAACCCAAAACTAAGATTTTGTCAAAGATGTATAACTTGCTGTTGAAATGGAATACTCAGGATGAAACGGTGAAATCTGCTATGATTAAATGGGCACAAGATATTGGACATAACATAATGATGGCTGACTGGGAACAGTTATGGACCACAGGTATGAAGTTTACGGCATGCAATGCCTTAAGAGAGAATATTATGAAAATGATATACAGGTGGTACATGACCCCAGTCAAGCTTGCAAAAATCTATCACTTGCCCGATAATAAATGTTGGAAATGTAAAGAAACTGAAGGTACATTCTTTCACCTCTGGTGGATGTGCCCAAGGATTAAGGCTTTCTGGGAAATGATCTATAATGAATTGAAAAAAGTATTTAAATATACCTTCTTGAAGAAACCAGAGGCCTTTCTCCTGGGCATAGTCGGCCAATTGGTGCCAAAGAAGGATAGAACTTTCTTTATGTATGCCACAACAGCAGCAAGAATACTTATTGCAAAGTATTGGAAGACACAAGACCTACCCACTCTGGAAGAATGGCAGATGAAGGTGATGGACTACATGGAATTGGTGGAAATGACTGGCAGAATCCGAGACCAGGGAGAAGAGTCGGTGGAAGAAGATTGGAAGAAATTTAAAGACTATTTACAGAAATACTGCAAAATTAATGAATGCTAGAATGATGTTGGATTGAAGTTAAGTGGTTTCTAGCTGTAATGGTATAAAAGAATATGAAAAAATGGATTTTTAACAGGTAAAAATTTAATGTTATAATATATTAAGATTAAAGATCAGGATAAATTAAGGAGGGAAAGGAATTGCTGAACTAATAAATTGAACTGGAATACAAAAAAGGGAGGTATGAGGAAGTCCGGGAAACAAGCAAATGAAAGATAAGTGATAGAAAGATTGAATTGTTTCTAACTATTTTTATTTTGTATTTTTTCTTCTTTTTCTTTTTTCATTTTGTACTATTGTGAAAACCTTAATAAATATTTATAAAAAAAAAAACAAACAGAAGCTGTACGCCGGCTCCCTCGGCCAATAAAGCGAGATGAGCGCCGCAACCCCAGAGTCGGCCACGACTGGACCTAATGGTCAGGGGTCCCTCTACCTTTACCTTAACATATAAAAATATGATTATTGATTATCAATATTAATCACCTGCCCTTCACTCTAAGGGGAATAAACGTTCACGGTTACCTTCACACACACAAAATAATAATTTTCAAACCCATGTACTATGCCCTCCAACAGGTCAGTAGAGTGATGGAGAAATGGGCTGAGCTGCGCCCCAAGCCCCCTTTCCCCGCAAGGATGGACCCCCTCACCGTGTTCGTTGAAATCCTTGGAGAAGGATGGCAGCTGCCCTCTGCCGCTGAAGTCCTCTGCCTGGTCCACCAGGGCTGCCTTCACCGCCTTGTAGCCACACAAGACCACGACTCGCTGCAGCCCCAGGTAGACGGTGAAGACCGAGCCGTGGGCCTCCCTCAGCTGCCGGGAGAAGAGTGTCAGTCCCTTTTGAAGGAACCTTTCCCTGCCCCCTCAGGTTGGCACAGGTGTGCACAGGTGAGGGGGGGACCGGGCAGGAAGGGAGCCTCACAAGGATGGGCAAGGGGAGAAACAGGCAGGAGTTCTGGGGGAAAGACAGGAAGTGCTCCTCTCCAAGGCATTCCTACTATGAGGCACTTAGCCAATGCTCCTCAGGATTCAACACACTTCTGCTTTGCTTTAAGGTATACTTTCCTCCCCCTGCTCCCACTTCTAGTGTGGGCTCATGGCAAAATTGCCCTGCCCACATTTAAATGGGGAATCTTTCACCTTTCAGATCAAATGTGTGGGTATTGTAAGAGTTTCTGCCTGCTTAAATTGTAGGGTTTTGTGTCTGTGTGTGTGTGTGTGTGTGTGTGTGTGTGTGTGAAGCAGCATTTATATATTCTATCATTTCTATTTCACATAGCAAACCAAGTTTTCTGTATTCCTTTGGTGTGAGAAGTCTTCGTGGGCATAAGTTTAAGGGTCAACACACATTCAAAGACCAGTGTGCATTGTAACCAGGACCAGATTTAGGTTTGATGAGGCCCTAAGCTACTGAAGGTAATGGGGCCCTTTAAATGTTCAGCTGTCCTTTGTTGTTGCTGTTTTTTGAGTTGAATATATGCTATATGGCAATTTATGGACCTAATAGGTATCTAAAACCATTTGCACATAACAGTCCCCGCAGAATGTAGGCACCCTATATATAGAAATGAGCAAACCAGTGATATTTTAGGAGCAGGCTAGCAGGCCGGGCCCATTACTTACATCATAGGAGCCTACACAACACAAAACACTGTTGCTGTATGTAGGTTTTATTTTATTTGTTTTTTATCTTATATTTTGGAAATGTACATCGGGTGTTGTTTTTTCTTTAAATTTTTTGGGCACCCCAAGAGAGTGGGGCCCTAAGCTATAGCTTGTTCAGCTTATACGTAAATCCGGCACTGATTGTAACATCAGCAAAAATCCTAAATTTCTCAGCAGTGGGTATATGAGCTTGCATGAATACTGGCTGAGAACATCTGAGTCCAGACCTGAGTCCATACACTTGTAACAGACCTGTGGATATCAGGTTTTAGGAGACAATAGTGGGGAGGCTATTGCCTTCAGGACCTGCCTGAGGGCTTCCCAAAGGCCCCTGTCTGTTCACTGTGGTAAGCTAGAGGAACTCCCTTTGGACAGATCCAGCAAGTCTCTTCTGGTGCTCTTGCATTCCTACAAAGATGGATCCCCGGCCGGGGGCTGATCATAGGCTTCCAATCTCCCCTGGCTTACCTTGCAGCTCGGTAGGGAGGCAAATGGAGACTCACCTTCTCCAGGGACTTGATCATGTTATTTGGGTCCAGTTGGAGAAAATTCCCCAGGATGGGGAGCGGGGTGGGTCCAGGGGGCAGACGGCCTTTGCCCTTCCATGCCAAGCCCAGGAATAAGACGCCACAGACGCAAAGGAGCAGGAAGAGAGATCCAGAGAGCAGCTCCATGGAGGACCCTGGCCAAGAGATGCCCCCGCTGGGCTGTGGGGAGGTGCTGAGAGCCACAGCTGGACTTATAAGGGCGGCTGGGGAACACCCAACTTTCCACATTGGTTATCCAGTAACTCCTGGTCCTCCGACCCATTTCCAAGCCAGCTGGGTGGACTTTGCCATTTCCAATCAGAAAGTTAACTCGTTAACTTATCAAGGATTACATGATAACCATAAAAAGGGCATTTCATTGCAAATGTTGGACAGGGTACTGGGGACAAATCAGAGAGCGGCTCATTAAGGTGGAGGGTGAATTGCCTTTTTGGTACTATGATCAAACCTATCCATTCTTAAGGAACTCAGCCCTGAGTGCTCACTGGAAGGACAGATCCTGAAGCTGAGGCTCCAATACTTTGGCCACCTCACGAGAAGAGAAGACTCCCTGGAAAGACCCTGATGTTGGGAAAGATGGAGGGCACAAGGAGAAGGGGACGACAGAGGACGAGATGGCTGGACAGTGTTCTCAAATCTACCAGCATGAGTTTGACCAAACTGCGGGAGGCAGTGGAAGACAGGAGTGCCTGGCGGGCTCTGGTCCATGGGGTCACGAAGAGTCGGACACCACTAAACGACTAAACAACAACAAATACATGTTTATGTTTTGCAGAGCAGGGCAAATAGGCAATCCCATTTAAAGAACAACTGCGGAGGCTTGCAAGAAAATGTTTTGGAGTTTCATCCACCTGCCTTTCCAGGCTCACATCCGCACCATCCCTCTAAAGTGCTGTTTCCACTTTAAATGGCCATGGCTTCCCCAAGAGAATCATGGGAAGTGTAGTCTGTTTCAATGTTCTGAGAGGTGTTCAGAGACCCTCTCTATTCGCCTCCCAGAGCTACAGTTCCCTGAGAAGAGGGACTCTGTTTATTTCCTACAAATCCCTGTTTGTTTGCTGTGTCCCATAGTGGTTATAGTGTCAGACTAGAACCTGGGAAAGACCAGGGTTCAAATTCCCCCCCACCTCAGCTGTGAAGCTCATTTGGGTGCCCTTGGGCTAGTCAGTCACTCTCAGCCTAACCTACCTCGCAAGGTTGTTGTTGTGGAGATTAAATAGGGAGGGAAATAACTATATACGTTAATAGGAGTAAGAAAGAGAGAGAGAGAAAAGAGAATATACAAAAATCTTATGTAATATACTCCACCTTGAACTCCTTGGAGGAATAGAGGGAATAAATAGGTTATAAGAAAAAAGTGCTCCTTTATCCCTTATTGGGTATCCAAGAGCCATATAGAGTCCTTATATAGGTTCTCTATTGGTAGGAGAAAATAACAGAAGCCAACCAGAGAGTATTGAGAAGCAAAACAGCTAGTAAGCATGATCTTTATTAAACTGTTGCAACAGGGTCTCACCCCCCCCCCCACGCAGGAGGAAGGAGGACCCCAGAACATTGGTGTGGAAGCTCTTATATAGACTTTTGAAATTGCCCAACCTGTAGCTCAAGGCCACCCCCCAATACATCATACATACATCCCATAAGAGGCAGTCTACCACAGAATCCTGTCTGGTGGGAAACCTGTTAATGGGTTTACCTGGACAGCCTGGCCATTCTTTTGTGATGGTAAATACTTAATTCCTGAGTCCAGGTCACAGGCTCACCCTATTCATATCCAAATGTGCCCTTCAGGGAGGATTTGTGAGCACAGAGACAATGGGGAGGCTTTTCCCATTTCCATCCAAACTGCAGAGGAATATTTGAGGTCACTGAAAGAGTCAACATGGCTTTAGGACTGTTTTCCTCTACTGTTTCAGACACGTGGTTTATATATTCATGTATGTGTTTGCCTGGTACATTTATGAACATTTATTTTATATCTTAGACCTTAAAATTCTCATAACAAAATACCTTTCCCGTGTTTTAATCAAAAGGACAGGAACCTCGTGACAATGACAAAACTGTCTTGTTTCTTTCCATAATCCTGAGTTTATCTTTGGCAAATATAGTCTATTGTATAGGTCCAAACCAGTCTTTGTAGCAGAGGCTGTAATTAAAGTTTGCTAGAAACACAAGATTAGTGTGCTGATCATTATGTTAAGCATTAGAAGGTCAGGAAGTTTTATCAATGCTTTCCAGGCAGGACTGAGAGAGACTCCAGAGCAAACCCACCTTGAGGAATCTGAGACCCTCCCTAGTCACCTCCCAGAGTTACAATTCCAGGGTTCCCTATGAAAAGGGGTGCTGCGCCCATCAGGGAATTATAGCTTGGTGAGGGGAATGGCAGTGGCAGATTCAGGGCAGTGCAAGCAGTTCTCCTGCACTGCGTGCCAAGCTGATGGGGCACTGTTGTTGTTTAGTCGTTTAGTCGTGTCCAACTCTTCGTGACCCCCTGGACCAGAGCACGCCAGGCACTCCTGTCTTCCACTGCCTCCCACAGTTTGGTCAAACTCATGCTGGTAGCTTCGAGAACACTGTCCCACCATCTCGTCCTCTGTCGTCCCCTTCTCCTTGTGCCCTCCATCTTTCCCAACATCAGGGTCTTTCCCAGGGAGTCTTCTCTTCTCATGAGGCGGCCAAAGAATTGGAGCCTCAGCTTCAGGATCTGGCCTTCCAGTGAGCACTCAGGGCTGATTTCCTTCAGAATGGAGAGGTTTGATCTTCTTGCAGTCCATGGGACTCTCAAGAGTCTCCTCCAGCACCCCAAAAGCATCAATTCTTTGGCGATCAGCATTCTTTACGGTCCAGCTTTCACTTCCATACACCACTACTGGGAAAACCATAGCTTGAACTATACAGACCTTTGTTGGCAAAGTGATGTCTCTACTTTTTAAGATGCTGTCTAGGTGTCATACCTATGATATACTGAATTGAACAGAACGAAAAAGCAGGAGGTGGGAATGCGTGCCAAATTTTGGCCTCACACATGGTGTTTGTTTTTGTTTGTTTGCCCCTGAAAATGGGGATGGCCTCCTAACAACTATCAGCCCATATCCACGAAATGATAGACAAGAGGGGCAGCAAACTCAGTGACCGCCCCGGGCAGCAAAAACCCCAGTTATGCCACTGACCTGGGTCCATCTCCGCCAATCTTTGACCAGCCTCGCCTGGGAGCAGAGCCCAGCTGCTCTTCTGGCTGCCAAGGGGCTGGAGGAAGCCAAGTCAGATGGAGGGTCAGTGGGAACACAGGCCCAGACAGGGCCTGCCAGGACTTCTGCCAGTCCTGCGCCCTGCCCAAAGGTCACATGCTGCGCTTTGAGATCCAAGGAGCTCCAAGGTCCAAGTAGGAGGCAGTTGAAGCCAAGACGCCAGGCCACGATGCCGGAGGCAGCCAGAAAACAAGGAGCAGACAGAAGAAGTCTTTGACCCTCTGTCATACTGACTAGCTTTTGAAAACCCAAAACAGGGAGATTTGAGCTCCTGCCCGCATATTGAACTCCTGTTGTCTGACTATCCTGTCTCCTTGGACCACAGTATCATTCAAGCCCATCCCAAATATTGATCCACGGGCATTGAAGACATATTCCTACATTTACAAAGAAGAGGGCTATCAATGGCTGCCATCAAGAACGGCTAAGCTCTGCCTTCATGGCTGAAGGCAGTAATGTTTCTGTTGCTGGAAACCACAGGAGGGAAGAGCGTTGTTCTTCCACTCAATTCCTGATTGTGGGTTTCCCATAATAGGCATCTGGTTGGCCACAGACTAAATGAAAAAGCTTTGGCCTGATCCAACAGGCCGGCTCTTCTTATGTTTCTATGCTAACCCCCACAAAGATTCCCTTTGCAAATAATATAGGCATATAAAAATAAAGGTATTCTCTGTTGAGTTCCATCATTATTGAGAAAGCCACTTCTCCTACCTAGGCAGTTATCTTTCCACAACGGTCAACATTGATGCCAAAATTCAGCATCGCCTGAGCTCTGCAAGTGCAGCTTTCTCCTGATTGAAGTGCAGAGTGTTTGAGGACTGGGACATTCACAGGGAAACCAAAATGCTTGTTTACAAAGCTATTGTACTACCAACCTTACTGTATGCTTGTGAAGCATGGACCACTTACAAATGCCATCTCCAACTTCTCAAAAGATTCCATCAACGGTGTCTCCAAAAAATCTTACACATCACTTGAGAAGCCAGGCGAACTAATATCAGTGTACTGGATGAAGCAAAGATCACCCGTGCTGAAGCAATGATTCTTCAACACCAACTTCATTGGACTGGTCATGTTGTGCGGATGCCTGATTATCGTCTTCCAAAGCAACTACACGATTCCAAACTTAAAAATGGAAAGCGTAATGCTGGTGGTCAACAAAAGAGGTTTGTTAGGCATATCTAAAAAAATGTAGTATAAACACCGACAACTGGGAAACCTGGCCTGCGAGTGCTCCAGTTGGAGAACAGCCTTTACCAAAGGTGTCATGGGCTTTGAAGACACTCAAACTCAGAACGCAAGGGAGAAACGTGCTAAGAGGAAGGCACGCTTGGCAAATCCACACCATGATCAAATCCCTCCCAGGAACCAATGTCTCCACCGTGGAAGGATGTGTGGATCCAGAATTGGCCTCCACAGTCACTTACGGACTCATTGTTAAAACCGTGTTTATGGAAGACAATCTTACTCGGCTACGAGTGATTGAAGAAGAAGAAGAAGAAGAAGAAGAAGTGTATCCCCACTTTCTTAATTTGGAGTCCCCCCAAAAAGAGGGTGTTGTATACATGGGGGCATGTTATGCATGGAAAAATATGGTACATGACAGCATAGGCTCTTGGCTGGGCAGTGCCTCAAATGAATAAACATTTCTGAAATCGTGATACATAGAGCCTTCGGAAAGCGAATGTGAAGGGGAAAGTCTGGCCTATTGCTCCATCCTTGAGCAATGGTCAACCTATCCACAGCCAACAAATATAGAAAAAGAGCTTTACAAACTAGTTCTGCATTGCAAGCTTTGAATATTTATGATAGACAGAAACAGACATCAAGATTCACTGGTGTGCAACTTGTCTCCAAAACATGAATATTTTTGATGATACCAATGTAGATACATTGC